AATAACTTAGTATTAGTCATACTCCTTCCTGGGGAGTGGTACTGAACTTGAAATAAAAGATGTGACTGCTTACACCCAGGTGCTGCTCAGGAGCCACCTAAGCCCCTTCACTAAGGCCACAGAACACAGGAGGTCTTAAAGACTGTGCACCCATGAAAAACCTTACCCCTCTGCAGATGTAGTCAAGTAGTCTCAGAGGAATATTGCTTTAGGACCTTGGCATTTTCAGTTTTACTTTGGAGAATTCTCATTCAAGTTCTCAGCCCTAATGACTTGTGAGATTTGAGGAAAATGAAGGTAATGTAGTGAAGATTTGCAAGGCTACCTAAAGCAGGTTAACCAAGTGTTTTATTATATCAGAAAAGGAATGGCTGCTGTGTTCTTGGGAAATCTAATTTGTTCAATAACAAATCATCCCAGAAAAATGATAACTGATGCTCAAAATGTCACAAGACTAGCTATGCAATATTCCTGTATTGAATTATTTCTTTAGTAATATTGACTGTCAGCTAGAGGTCATAGTCCACAGGAAAATGTCAAATTATGCAAGATTTTATCCATAGTACATATGTCAAACTCAAAAGAAAACCATATTAAAGCAAAAAAGAAAAAGGTATGTGCCTTTCTGGACCCTTGAAAATGGCAAACCGCCTCTTACCTTCTCATATTCAGGGTAGCATTCCAAGATGATGTCTCTTAGCTTGATGCCAGAGGCAATACAACTACTTCACTCGAAGACTTGCCTAGACTTGGGTTGAAATAACAATTTATAGTTTCCAACGACAGGTGTAAATGAAAAATGCCATCCCACATTAAAGTTTCTAGTTAGGTGGAAACTATACCTCCCCATACTCCCTTCCCCCACCACTCCCACTGAAGCAATAAGAAGAATGCATTTGATAGATGAAGAATCTGGCAAGGAAGTGGAAATGATTTACTGACGCCCAAACCCATAAAGAAATACCACTAAATAGTCATTTGTATGCATTTGTATATAGTACAACAGTGGGGTCAGAAGGGCTCAGAGGTACATTTTCAATGTGCTCTTTGCCCCATTTCTTCCATTAGTATACAAGAAAAACATGGCAGGAAGTGGGGGTTGCTAAAAGAAAACAGTCTACAAAATAGGACATAATTACATTAGAAATCACTTTCATTTTAAAGGTGTTTTCAATTACATGCACCCTTTATGGCATAGATTGGCTGAAGGCATGAGTGTGGGGAGAAGGTGAACAAACCTACTGAATAGAATTTGTTAAAAATTTGCAGATAAATCGATTGTGTTTCCATCACTAACACTGTACAACCTAAGAGGAAATTTAAAAAAAACAATTCCATTTATACAATACAATTGCACCAAAACTAATAAAATAATTAGGAATAAACCTAGCCAAATGTTAGGGTGGAAACTTACTAGGTATTGACGGTGGGCTGGAGAAAGAATTCTCACACAGAGTTTAGGATAGAAAGAAGTACAAAGTTTATTTATTTCTCCATGAAAGAAAAAGAGAGAGAGAGGGGGAGAGAGAGAGAGAGAGAGATACAGAGAGAAGCAGAGAAAAGGTGGCATGGCCCACAGCACCCAGAAGAAAAAGTAGAGGGTAGTGTTGGGCAGCTGAGAAAAGTTTCTTGGAGTTTTAAAGGATAAAAATTGCTTTTTTCCCTGCTTCAGCAGACTGATAACAGAAGTGGCTATGAGATATCAGGGAGTTCTTTATTTCTTTTTCTTTCTCTGTGAGGCAGGGTTATTTGAGTGCTTAAATTTGTTGGTTTTGGTTTTTTTTCTGGCAGGAACTGAGGAAGAGCACTGGAGCAGGGAGTATGCACCCCTACTGTCCACTTAGGGCTCTTCAAGGTTGAGAAAAAGCTCTTAGAAATGACAAGTTAGACCGCAGGTGTTTTAATTAAACAAAGGGTAGGTGTACTGTGAATTTGTTTCTCTTGATTTCTGTTTGATAGTTTATTTTCCTCTGTTGGATAGGTTATGAGTAAGACCACCTTTCACCAAGGAGGCAGAGAACTTATATACTGAAAACTACAAAACCTTGCTGAAAGAAATTCAAGACACAAATATTAATAATTGGAAACACATCTGAAGTTCATAGATTAGAATACTTAATATTGTCAAAATGCCTATGTATCCCAAAGTGATCTACAGATTCAATACAGTTCATATCAAAATTCTAATTACTTGGGGTTTTTTTTTTGCAGAAATAGAAAAACTCATCCTAAAATCCACATAGAATCACAAGAGACCTTGAATAGCCCAAAAAATATTTATTAAAAAGGAAGAACAAAGTTGGAGGTCTTACATTTTCTGATTTTAAAACTTACTATAAAGCTACAGTGATCAAAACAGTGTGGTACTGTGGCATAAAGGCAGACACACAGACCAATGGAATAGAGAGCCTAGAAATAAACCTTCACGTATACAGTCAAATGATTTTCAACAAAAGTGACAAGACCATTCAGTTGGGGAAAAGACAGTCTTTTCAACAAATTGTGTTGGAAAACTGGTATCAATGTGTAAAAAAGTGAAGTCAAACCCATACTTTACACCATGCACAAAAATGTAAAATGGATTAAAGACATAAATTTAAGAGATAAAATTATAAAACTCTTAGAAGAAAACATAGGGGAAAAGCCTTGTGATATTGGATCTGGCAATATTTTCTTGGATATGACATGGAAAGCACAGACAGCAACCACAATAAAAAAGTACATCAGTTGGACTATATTAAAAACTTCTGTGCATCAGAAGGCACTATCAATAGAATTAAGGCAATCCACAGAAAGAGAAAATATTTGCAAATTTTATATTTGATAATGTGTTACTATCCAGAACATATAAAGATCTCCTACAACTCAAAACAAACAAAGGCCCCTACTTAAAAATGAACAAATGACTTGAATAGACATTTTTCCAAATGAAATATACAAATGGCCAATAATCACATGAAAAACATGTTCAATGACACTGATCATCAGGGAAATGCAAATCAAAACCACCATGAGATACCACTTCACACCCATTAGTGAGACTGTTGGCGAGGTGGGGAAGCTGGAACCTTGATGCCCTGGTGGCAGGAATGCAAAATGGTGCGGCCACTATGGAATACAGTATGGGAGTTCCTCAACAAATTAAAAATTGAGTTTTCATATGATCTAGCATTTGTACTTCTGGGCACTAAACCCAAAAGAATTGAAAGCAGCGTCTTGAAGAGAACTTGTACACTCATGTTCAGAGGAGCAATATTCACAGTAGCCAAAAGAAGGAAGCAATCCAAGTGTCCGCTGCTAGATGAATGGGTAAACAAAATGTGGCATATACATACAGAGGAATGTCAGCCAGCTCTAAAAATGAAATTCTGACACTTGCTACAACATAGATGTACATTAAAGACATTATACTAAGTAAAATAAGTCAGTCGCAAAAGGACAAAAACTATATGATTCCACTTACATGAGGTACCTAGAGTAGCCAAATTCAGAGACAAAGTAGAATTGTGGTTGCCAGGGGCTGTGGGTAGTAGAGGATGGGGAGTGAGTGTTTAATGGGTATAACGTTTCAGTTTGGCATGATGAAAACATTTGGTAGTGATGGTTGCATAAAATGGGAACTCATTTAATGTCATTGAACTATACACTTGAAAATGGTCAAATGGTAAATTTTATGTTATGCTTATTTTACCATAATTAAAAATTTGTAAGGAATCTTCATAAGGAGGGTTTAGGATAGTCATTTAAAGACCATAAGTTGTTTTTGTTGTGCATCCTCTCAGATAAAGTAACAGAAAATGACCTTTTATAAGTAAGATATGAATCACATTTGCCTTAAATACAAAGGTATTATATAATCTAGACACATTTTAGTATCTAAATTGCAATGTAGGAGAATAAAAACAAAGTTATAAATTATGACTTACTGTTTGATTACCATACTTGTCTTGTAAAAACATTAGAAGTATGCCTGCAAAATATCCAGAATTACACATATTTCCAGAGTAATCACTGGCTAAAAGAAAATGTAGCAATGGGAGGAAATGGATTTGTTTTTAGAGAGAATAGCCAGAAAGATTTCTGAGCTTCAGTTTGTACTGAAATATTTCTGGGAACATGGCCTTCAAAGGTTTATTCATAGATGCTCTGAGCCATTGAGGGAAAGACAGAAAAGTAATTGATAGATAAAACTTATATTTTAAATGTTAATATGAAGTTCCTTCATAGCAACATTTACAACCTATCATTACTATGTTTATATGTTTTAACTTTTTACTCTCTGCTATATTAGAATATAAGCTTCATAAAGATAGAGATCTCATATGTCTAAATCACCATGTACCCTCATATATAAAACAAAACCTGATCTATAGAAAATATTTAATATATACTTGCTGAATAAATGAATAAATTACTTTTTATCTCCAACACTACCCAACCCAGTGCCTTATGCATGGTAGGAGCTCAATACATAGTTGTTGATTTAATTATGTATTTAAAAAGAAAATTGATGTTAGATAAGTTATAAGTTTATGATAGTAAAATAAGATTCACTGGTGCCTCAAGGAATATGTATTGTATTTTGCTTAAGACACTATTGACTGTAGGATGAGAAATTATTTTATTAAAATTTAAGAAAGGAACAATGTAGCTTATTAATCCAGGACCCGCCATCAATTGTAATACATATCTTGATTGCAGAGATTTTAAGAATGTGAAAAATGTACATCTTAGAATTTAAGAAACGTGGTATTTATCATAGAATTTTCCCTAAGACCGGTTGTAATATGTCTCTTTCTTCACGGAAATCTTGGATTGAAAAGAGTCCTGAAGGGCATCAGTGTAAATTTTCATACAGTGCTAAGGCAAACATTTGTTCATAGAATGATGGGGATGAGGTGAAGGTCTTTATACAACCAGGGATGTGTAGGCAGCATTTGAGATGAGGAAAAAGATAGAACTGAAGTGCTTTTCCTCTTTGGTCCTTACCCTCTTATCAGATTCCACACACACCTCTATGAGAAAGGAGAAGAAACAGACCAAGAGGGGAAATGGTGGGAGGTGTTGATCAGATTTGACCTTCTGAAGACCACCCCGTATGCAGTGACCGGTGGAGACCAAGCAAGTACTCCTGGACACCAGCTGGGCTGCGACCGCAGACTTCTCAGTGAGCGACGCAGGGCGGCGGAGGTGGCGGTGGGCAGGATGCACAGGACCGGGGGACGTCCGGGGAGCAACGTAGACTGGACGGGCTTCCTGCTGTGATGTGTGACATATATCTGGCTATTTTTTAACCCTTTTAAAATTGTCTGGCAAAGACTTGTGATAAATGCCTCTGTTTTCTAAGTTCCAACAGCAGCACACACTGGAAAGCATTCCACTACTTTTAAAAACATATATTTAACTTAGAGATTATTTTAGTTTGCAGAAATATTAAAATAATAAGATTCCTGTATTTTTTTAGCATATTTCACATTTAACTATTTTTTTTTAATAACAGACATCTTAATGCCAGAGTTTCCAGTGCGAGATTGGCATGGGAGAATAAATGTGTGTTGTCTCTTAATAGGGCTTAGCCTGGAGGGCATTGAGAAGTTGAGGCAGCAGCATTTGCACCTGTGAGGGTTCACACCTGTCCTTTTTGGTCAGGGCCAAGTTGCCGTACCTCCTATGCTGACCCAGGCAGCAAATGCTCACTGTGCTGTGAATTATCGATCTGCCTTTTTGATACTCTCTAAAGTGCTAATGTAGAAGAAATAACATATAATTCCATGTCTAGAGGTCCCTCACACTGTTATCATGATAAGGCGATGGAGACAGCAATAAAGAAGGTGCTTTTATCTGATTTTGTTTCCTCTAAATTTAGCTTCCCAACAGTGTTTAAAATCTTGTGAAAATGTTTAGATTTTTAACACAGACCCTGTCATAAAATCTGTACAACAGGGCCAAAAGGTAGGAGCAACAAAATGCTGCCATATTGTAAGTTTCCAATGCAGACTTTAATTTTTTTTCATTAGTAGCACTGAAAAAATATTACTGCATGGGTATGTTATTGTTCAGTTTATAAAGTTTTAAAGGCTTATTTGAGGCATGCCTCACTGTTATGCACATAGGTAATTTAGCCATGCCCCTAAGTATTCCTTTTTTATCCTGCATTTGATGCAGCCCAACAAAGCTTTTGTTTTGAAATAAATTTGACTACCCTGTCAAAATAAATAAATAAATAAAAAGAAGGTGCTTGCGAGTTCTACTTCCTTCCCCAGCTATGTACGCCTTCATTCTTTTCTTTTGCATCCCACACTCTTATATTCTTTTTTGACCTAGATTGTGAATGGATAGGAAGACCAAGGGAAAACTGAATAAAGTGAGTAAAATTATGTTTGTGCATGTGTAGTTTAAGGGCAGGATTTTAGAGTAGAAAAAAAATTTATTAACACAATTCCAATTGAATATAAAAGGCTGTAGCAAGTTAAAAACTAGGACACATTGATATTTCATAATAATTTGTATATATGGTACTTAAACAGGAAGTGGGAAATGCTAGAGGCTATCCATTCTACTTTATTTCCATTGCCGGTACCTCCAGTGACATCTGATGAAGGGGTAAACTTTTAAAGACAAAATAGAACCAAGTCCCATCACTGGAGGGTTCAAGTTGTGTTTGGAGAAAAAAAGAAATGTGCACAGGGTGTCCTCCAACGCTAGCTAGCACCTTAATCCAAAGGAGACTTTATTAGAGATCCATGTCACTGGGCTAGTCCACAGTTGGATTTTTTATTTTCTTTTCTACTCTTAGATTAATTCTACTCTTAGATTTATATTTCTGGCTTTTAAGTCATTCCACTTACATTTCTCTCACTTAGTTTTTAATCTTTATTTTGTAAAGACTTCAAATACACTGGAACATAGATTCTTTCTGGGCTGCAGAAAGGTTTTCTTGAAGGGGTTAAGCCCTTCACTCCATAACCATGTGATGGGTTGAGGACAATTAGACTTTATTGGGGGGAGGTGGGGGCTACTGCAATGGGGTTTTGTAGTGGCGGAGAGAAATTAGGCTCATTTCTGAATACAATAAGGAGAAGTGGGAATTTATACACAAGGAGCAGTGTGGAGGTCAGCGGGTGAAACACTACTAAGAGGTAGGGTAATTCTTTGTTGAATAGACCTAACAAGATCCTTGCTGACGGCTCAGAGCTTGTGGTGGAACCAGGACAAATGTCGACATGAAGAAAACCCGCTGCACACTATGCACTGGGCCCTTCTTCTCAGCCCTCTGCTCAGGGACGTGTAAGGTCTAGAGAGGGGAAGTGATTTGCCCAAGTAAAGCGAATTGTCTATGGAAAGGCAGAGCCCGGATCAGAGCCAGGATCGCTGCAAAGCTCAGCCCCTGCAGTATGCGATGTGCCACAGGTTTTAAAAAGATCTGATCCAGTTTTCTTTCCACTTTCTCTCCTTGCCTTACAGCAATTTATAAAATGCCAAATTAAAACCCAACAGTTCCCTGTAATATAAATGAAAATTCGTTGAAAGAAATTAAAAATGAATTAAATAGAATTAAAAATGAAATTGTGTCTTTAGGCCCCGTATTCCTTTAACCCCAACAGAATGTGTATTCATAAATCATGTGAATAATACAAGACTATTCACATATTTTTATAAGTATTGAAATTAAATTACCATTCCTATTGTAGTTGTAATCATTACATATGTGGATGAAAATTAGTTGTCTTTCAAATTTTAGAGAAAGAAAAATCTAATGAAAATTATTGTTGCATGTTGATGTTCAGAGTAGCTCTGATATCTAAGCTTATTTATTCCTAGGAATATTTTCAAACACATTTACTTCAAATGCATATTGATGGTCTTGGAGTTCAGTGTAGCTGAGTATATCAGGTTAAAGAGTAGGACAATATAAAGGGTTAAAGGTAAGGTGCTGAGGAGTGGGGTGGAGAACACTATACAAAGCAGGCTTAAACTACAACCATAACAATATGAAATTAAATATGAAAAGATTATGTTAAGGATATGTGTATATATCCCTATATAAGTGTGTGTACATACATATATATGCAGATATATACACACACACATGTATTTTTATACAGATCAAAAACTCCCAAATATTTTCATCCTATGGTAGGGGGTTATCCCTTGAATCTTACAGAAGCAAACTGAAGACAAATAAAAGTAACCCTGCTTTAAATAGGAATAGTAAATTTATGGATGCATTGTCCCAGGAGGTAAAGGTAGTAGAAACTGAAATTATAAATAGCTTTACTAACAGAGGCAAATTAATGAATCACAGATACATAAACATTTATTGAGTTTGTTTTTTTTTTATAGTGGTAAATCCTTAGGCTCTAGGTTGCCTTGCAAAGTATGATAAGGGAATTGCCACCTCTTTTCCACAATATGAAACCTCAGATCATCCACATTTGGCAATAGAGGTGAATGCTTGTAACCACATTCGGGGGCTTTCAGCAGGCACCAGGCAGAGATGTTTACCAGAGATTTGAGAAAACAAATGAGAAGCAGGCCTTTTTTTATTTTTTTATTTTTTTTTGATAGGCTCTAAGTTTTCAGCCTTGAATAATATGGGTTTCTTTGATGCTGGATTATAGATAAGAGTTTCTTGTAAGATTTTTATTATTAAATAATAATGGTTAAGTCTTTGGGGCATCTGTCATTAATTTTATTTATTAAAATTAGTCTCTGGCTAAGACGGAGGTACCCATTTTTATTTTCTTCCAGAAAGATTGCCATTTATGCCAGCATCACTTATTAAATAAACCATTTCCCCCACTGAATTGAACTTTTTTCATATAATAATTCTCATTTACTGATGCTATGGTTTATTATTTTTTTTGGCTCTGTATTCTATCCTATTGATCTCTTTGCTTTTCTTATACCATCTTTCTTTGGTGACAATGGCTCTATTTTGTGTGCTAACATAGGATCTGGGGCAGCAGCCACGAAGTGCACTGCTCAGATCTCCCTTGTGGGGAGCTGGCCTTTTAGCAGCGTGGAGCCCAGTGAGCTGACAGAGTGCGACATTAGACACTCCCACCCCCCTGCTAATGATGGACACAGCAGACTATTAGGGTCTGGCCATTTCTGCCCAGTTTGTGACTCCTGCAAGTGCAAAGCTTTTGCTCCAGGGCTTTCAGCTGGATTGGCCCAGGCTTTGTCACCTGTGCATGGCAGCAGGGTGTTTCTTTGCCTCTCCTGTCACACCTGGGGGTCTGCTCAGGGCCTGAAGCTCCCTGCCCAGCCTTGCTTCTTCCCTCTTGTATTAGATTTTACAGGCTTTACCCTCTCCTCCATGCAAAGGGCTCCAACTGCCACCTAAGGTCCCCCCTCCCCACTCGTTCATCTCCTTTTCTTGGCTACTCTTGGTCTTTTATTTTTCTGTTTAAATACTATCAGCATATTACAAAATTATCTCCTCAAAAACGTTGGGATTATGAATTGAACTGCATTAAATTTATGTATGAATTTTGGGGAAATTGACACAATCTGTAATAATATATTTAATTATGTATTTGTTTAATGTTTACATCTCCCATTAAACTGTAACCTCCTCGAGGACAGGTATTTTGTGTGTTTGTTCACCACTCTGTACCAAGTGCACATCACTGTGCCTGGTGCTTAACAGATACTTGTTGGATAAATGACATAACCAACATCTGAGACTTATCACTTTGAAAGAGGAATAAAGACAATTTCAGGCAGACATTATGTGGTCTGGAAAGTAGTTGTTACTGATAACATTCTTTACTATCGAGCAACATATAATACTGATCCTATTTTCCATAGCCAATTATCCAATAAAAATGGATTTTTTTATTGAAAAAAATCTTTTTAGACATATTATTTGAACTTGGAATACATCTACCCATTGAAACAATATTTTTAAATAGGAGTGAGATTCCTAGCTTTTTCCACAGTATATGCACCTTGTAAGACGGCATTTTAGATTAACTGGCTTTTATAGAACTAATCACTATGATAAGAGTAGGATAATAACATTAAAAACATTAGCAGATTTGATTTGGAAGCCAGGACATATTACTCTGCTTTCTCCCAGCCCTTATAACAAGAGGAAGACTGGGAGAGCAGAGGGAAAGGGCACAGTTCAAATTTTATCTCCCTCACTTAGCCACGTGCCTTGCACCACTTACCTTTACCTTTCCAGGCTTCATTTCTCTGCTGTGTGTAGCAACGGTGAGGTGGTCTTTCAACACTGGTTCCTAACCAGGTGAGCATGCAAACAAATCACCTGGAGAGATCTTTTATTTTGTTTTGAACCGAAAATACAGGTGCCCAGCTCCCAACCCAGGATGGGGCCCAGATATGTGGATTTAAAAATCTGCTCAGGTGAATCTAATGTGGACTCTTATCCGTCAGGAAGGTCTAGGTTCTGCTGCAGTAACAAGGGAAGCCTGACTTTCCTGTGGCTTAAGACATAAAAGCGTATTTCTTGCTTATGTTACCTGTCCAGTGTAGGCTGTAGCGGACCAGGGGACTCTGCTCCATGCTTACGCAGGGCCCAGAATCACCGAGGCTCTGTGTTCTGGAACATTTTCATCGCCACCACAGGATGAAGGAGGAGTGTCATGCACAAGCATTTAATGTTCACCCTGGAAGTGGGACGTTACCTGCTCATAGCACTTTGGCTAGAACTAATCACATGGCCCTATCTCCCTGCAGGAGAGCTCGGGGGGTCCTCCTCTGTGTGCCCAGGCAGTAGAGAAGCAGCCTGTCCTGATGAGCAGTAGTCGTGTCTATATGTTGACATCATTAAGCATGACCTTTCTTGATTCCCTAATTAAATGAACTATGACAAGTAAGGCCTATGACTTTACTGTCCAATATAGTAACCACTGCACACACATGCTTATTTAAATTTAAATTAAAACTAAATAAAAGTTAAAATGCAGCTCTTCAGTTACAGTAGTCACATTTCAAGTACACAATAGCCACATGTGGCTCATGGCTATTCTACCGGACAGCTCAAATATAAAAGATTTCCACCATGCGGAAAGTTCTATTGGACCAGGGTGGTCTAGTACACAGTTGGTCTCCCTGCTCTTGTTATACTATCACGCTAGTGTTGTAGCCACACCCACAGCCTCTGTGTTAATGGCAGTGCTCTGACAATGGTGCTGGAATTTGCTGGAAGCTTTCCACGGGGAAGCGCATTTGGAAGTTAAGACATTCACAAGGTGGAGAACATAGGCATGGGCTGGAGCAAGGTGATGATATGTTTCAGGTTAGCAAAGTTACTTACAAAAGGATAGAGTAAAAAAGAACAGATATGCATAAAAAAAGGGCCAAAGAAGGGGTAAATAGTTGTAAAAGCAAAGCTGCAAGGATCCTGCTGTGATTAAATAACACGCTCTTACAAATATGCAGAGTAAGTGGACTAACTAACCTCCACGTCTACTAAACACAGAATAGAAGGAGATGGACTGAAATTTATGGATGAGGATTTCATCTTAAGTATAGGGTAGGATGCATTATGAGTGAAAAATAGCAAATAGCAAATACTCAAGCTATGGTATTATAAAATGAAAGCCATTTTATATTTTTGTAGTATGGAGAATATTGTACTGTTTGAACATGCGGGGCGATAGAGTGTAAAATTTTACTGACGATTTCTCCATCCCTCCTCCAACGCTGTGATTCTGTGTGGGCCCCTCGCACACCCGGCGCCCTGTGATTCTGTAATTGGTTAGGACGGTCATTCTCAAAGTGTGGTCCGCAGACTCCAGGAGGCCCCCAAGAACTTTCAAATGTAACTATTTTCCTAGTATTATTGAGATATTCTTTATTATTTTCATTGGGTTGACAATTGCATTGACAGTGCAAAAGCAATAATGGTGTAACTGCTGGAGCTTTAGAACAAACTGAGGTAGTAACACAACTGTTCTGGCAGTCATTGTATTCTTCAATGCAATGCACTTGCAGTTAAAAAGATGCCAGTTTCACTAGGAATGCCCTTAATGAAGCAGTGAAAATTATTAATTTTATTCAATCTCAACCCCTGAGGTGTCTTTTTAAATATTCTGGTGGTGAAATTTGAAATACTTCTGCTACATAAGGAAAGCACGTGTGTGGCCATTTGACTTGCAAGCTGAACTAGCTGGTTTACTTTATGGATGTGATTGACTGACAGACTAACCATAGTTACCCAGACGTGGGTATTTGGCAGACATTTTCTCAGAAATAAATGAAAAAACTTGCTATCTCAAGAAAAAATACTTCAACTAAAATTATTCTTGCCAAAGACAAAAATTCAAGCTTTCCTGTGATAATTAAAAGGATTAGAAAACTGTCTTTGCCACTTCTCAACTAACTTGTAAAGATTTTAAGCTATGGTGATATTAGTATTATACCAATGAATGAGATCTTTTTGTGTGCTGAATAATGAAATATGTCAATGCCTAAAAGATCTGCATAACACAATAGACCAAATGACCAGTGCGTAATGTTACAAAATCAGAACTGCAAGATATGCCAATGTATTATAATGTAACAAAGTATAAGAAGTTTGTTGATATGGTTTCAGAGTCCACATATATCACTTGTGGAGTTTTGGTATAGTATCAAAGAACACTCAATTTTGTGACAAGGCTATTAATATACTCGTCCCCTTTCTAACTACATATGTGCATGAGACTTGATTTTCTTCGCATACTTTGACCAAAATAACATATTGCAACAGACTTTTAAAAGCAGATATGAAATTTCAGCTATTTTTCTCTTTCCTTCTTCCTTCCTTCCTCCTTCCTTCCTTCTCTCTCTCTCTTTCTTTGCAGGGTCTCACTCTGTTGCCTGGACTAGAATGCAGTGGTATCATAATAGCTCACTGCAACCTCAAAATCCTGGGTTAAAGTGATTCTCCTGCCTCAGCCTCCTGAGTTGCTGAGACTATAGGCATGCAGTGCTACCACGCCTGGCTAATTTTTGTATTTTTTGTTGAGATAGGATCTCGCTATGTTGCTCAGGCTGGTTGCTAACTCTTGGCCTCAAGTGATCCTCCTGCTATGGCCTCCCAAAGTGCTGGGATTATAGGTATGAGTCACTGGGCCCAGCCTCAGCTATTTTTCTATTAAGCCAGACACTAAATAAAATTTCAAAATATAATCAATGCTGGTGTTCCCATGAAACTTTTTTCTTTTGAAAAATAAAACAATTTTGATAAAAATGATATTTATGTTGATATACAATGGATTTATTATTTTAATGAATAAATATTTGTAACATTTCTCCATTTTAATTTCAAATAACATAAATATTGGTAAATACAACTGACACAAAATACTTCTTTTTGGGTCCTCAGTTATTTTAAGAGTATGAAGAGGTCCTGAAACCAAAGTGTTTCAGAACTACTTGCTTAGGAAATATTTCAAACTCTATAACAGAACACCATGGACAGCTCCAACAGCCAATTCAACAGGACTCTAAATGCCTGAGATCTAGTACAACATATAGAATTACAGAATTCTATGTATTCACTCTTCAGAGCTTAAATCATTCCAAGACATAAAAAAATTTTTTTCACAGAGTTTAAATAATAATTCAGAACTGATTTGGGGAATATTTACTGCTGTTGATCTGTTCCTTGAGAGTACATTTAAAGAAATGGTTATTCAAAATAGCTCATTAAAACGATCAAAAATAAACTGTCAGAATGACACGTAGTATGTGCTAACAAGATATATTATTCAGAAGTATGAATAAAACATAAGAACATCTTGTTTAAAAAGCATAGTCACTTGAATAGCTTTACAAAAATATACTAGAAATATATGAGTACATATACTAATTGCTGTTTAGCTACTATAAACGTGTTTCCAGGGTAAGTTTTCTCATTACATAAACTATTCTATAATACTACCTCTTATTTAAAAAAATTTTAAGTTCCTGTCACTTTGTAAGTACATGAAATGAAACATGTACCATGATTTGACAGGACACTTGTTAAATATAAAGTCAGACATAATAAAAGCATCTAAAAATAGCTATCTAAATGAGCTGTGTTCCAAACTATGCTGGCTGCTGAGAGTTTGCTGTTATCTCCAGGTTAGAAAAGGTTTTGTGATATTTAGGCTATATTTTTAAAAAGCAACAATATTCTATAACAATAAAATGCACTAAATCATATTTTAAGCATTTCTCCCATGCTATCCCTAGATGAATGAATGCTATGGGCTGAATATATGTAGAAATCCCCCCCCATAAGGTGATGGTATTAGGAAGTGGGACCTTTGGGAGGTGATTAGTGTCCTTATGAAAGAGGCCCACAGAGCTCCTTCATTCATTCCACCATGTAAACTTAAGATGGCTGTCTACGAACAGGAATCAGCCGGTGCCTTGATCTTGAACTTCCCTGCCTCCAAAACTGTAAGAAATACATTTTTGTTGCTTAAACTGCTATATTATTTCATTGTAGCAGCTTGAATGGACTAAGACAATGTATACAGTAAATTTCCAAATATTGTTAGATAAGAACACCTGAAAAATTTCATGTATTTCTCCTTTGAGTTACTTTGTGCCCAAACAAGCAAAACAAAAAATAAAATATGGATAATATTAATTGTATTATATGTTTACATATATTATCTTTGTTAACTTTTAGAAAGAGTAATATCCATCAAATTATATTTATAGAAAAGCTGATAGAATATTAACATGGAATATATAAATATCTGAATATTGGCTTTTATAATAATTCAAGTATTGAAGCTTCAGAGATACCTAGCCTTTAGAAAAGCATGACCAAACATACTGATCTCACTTCCTTTGGGATTTACTCTATGTTATCTTTGTAGATTCCTTTTTATCACTGGAAAGAACATGAATATGTATGGAATTAAGGTCACAATGAGATTTGGTATTTTTAATCACATTTCATCCAAAGAATTCAAATGTAATCTTAAATATTTACTAAATAGTGTTCATATTCACTCCCTGAAGCAGATAAGCTAGTCAATTTTCCACACTTAATAGAGTGAAAACTAAGAGTTAATGAAATGTTGTACAAGTATTTTGCATTTATAGTATTGCTCATTGCTATGCTGGATATATTCAATATATTATATATTGAATTACATGACATGGTCCCAATGTGCATGACACTTAGGTCTAGCTGAGCAGCGGATGAAAAACACATAGGAGAATTAAAGAATTAGAGAAGACTTAACATTCTAAGTTATTTGGTTCAGAATTCAGACAAGAAGGAAATCAATTCAGTCTATTTGAAGTTGTTGAATAAGCTTTACAGAGTAGGGGAGCCTGAGTTCTGCAAATATTTGTTGAGCTAAGCATGGCAGGACTTAGGAATTTAGAAGTAGGCAAGGTATCATCTCTGACCACAAAAAGTCTGAGTGTGGTAGGAAAGAAAGACACATCAATACTTTTGATTTAATGTTGCATGTCTAACAGTAGTGGAATGCAAAGGGGCACATTGCCTGGGGTGGTTAGGCATGGACACTCAACCATGATGCCTGGGCTGAGCCCTGAGGAATGAGGGAAAGTCAATCCATTGAAGAAAATGGCACAAAGGGTCCAGGGAGTATGCATAAGGTAACAGGGGTGTGACATGGCAACGAGCATGTAGAGAACAACAGATTATCTACTATAGATAAAATGTTGGGCCAGGTCCAAACCTTATGTGGATAGGAGGTCGTGGGCAGTGGGTCAGGAGGGATGGGGGTCCAGCTAGAGATGGACATTGGCCAGGACTGCGGCAATAAGGCTTTGGAGGGTGACAAGGGACTCCTTGTCTCAACCTCTCAACCTCTCCCTGACTCAGTCACATACTGAACTCACATCTGCATCATACTCAGTTTATCTTGGGCTCTGGCCTTCCTAGAGGACCACAGAGAGGAAGATCCAGGATTAACTTTCTCCAGGTGGGATAAGTGCAAATGCAGGTGGGCAGGTAGAACTGCCAAGTCCTTGCTTTGTAGGGATAAGGACACGGCTGTGCCTGTGTCAGAGCCCAATGTTGTCACGTGTACTTGAGGATCAACAGACCCATCTAAGCCTATGTTACAAGAAAATCACCAAATTTCAACAATATTGGGCTCAGGAATTCTGATTTTGATGGAACTTGAGAACTTTGCTTCAGGATCCCTGGAACTGAAATTAAAATGTGAAACCGAAACATTTACAGTTCCCTGTGCACCTACCTTCGGCACAGTCTCTGCCCCCTGCAGAGCAGAACTTCCCAACTGGTGCATCAAGGCATCCGTCTGCTCCAAATGGGCCAGAAGTAGGTGTGTTGTGGATTGCTGAGTCTCTTACTCTAGCGTCTCTGGCCTAGATTATTGCAGGGGCCTCATAACTGTTCTCTTCACTGCAGCACTTGCCCCTGTACAGCCTATTCTCAACACAGCAGAGAAAGCCATCCTTTAAAACATAAACACATAGTAGTTTTTCACAACTGTGCTATCAACTCTGCCATTGGCTTCCCACCTCGTTTCGCAAGTCCTCACAATGGCCTATGGAGCTCTGCATCACCTAACCTCTGCCATTTCTCTGGTCTCAGATCACATTATTGTCCACCATGGCTTTCCTGCTCCATGAACAATGGCCACCACCATGTTATTTGAAGGAGCCAGACACACTCCTGCCTTGGGCTGTGCATGGGCTTCATGCTGATGCAGGGACGCTCTTCTCCCGCGTGTCCACTCGGCTCATTCAATCATCTTTTTCAGGTCTCTGTTCAAATATCACCTTGATAAGGTCTTCCCTGACCACACTATTCAAAACTGGCCAGCATTGCCACTCCTCAGTACCTCGCATCTGTACTTTATTTTTCTCCATGTCACTTATTTGACACGATAGTTAATACACTAAGTGTTTAGTATATTAATTACTAAACATTTTACTTATTTGTTTATTGTTCGTCTCCCCTGGCCAGGAGGTAAGCTCCATGGAGGCAGGTCTTTTTCATTATGGCCACTGTTGTTCATGGCTGAATCACTAGTACCTAGCATAGAACTTGACAAATAATAAAAGATGAATTAACACTTTTTGTACAGATAAATACATAATTTTGAAATAACTGATATAAGTTCAATTGCATTTAAAAATCAGTTTACGTTAACTCAAGAATTAAAAAAATACATTTGTCAATACGGGAGTTATTGGAATATTTAAATATATTAGCTGCCTTGTAAATTTTGAATGATTTGCAAAATCAATGCTTTTAAATTTTTTCTTTAAACAACTAATAAAAAATTTAAATCTGAAGAAATGATCATTAAAACTTTTTATTGAGGAATAATGTGGAACCATTTCAACCATTAAAAAAACAGGTATTTTATTTATTTATTTACTTATGACAGGGTCTTGTTCTATTGCCCAGGCTAGAGTGCAACTGCATCATCATAGCCCACTGCAGCCTCAAACTCCTGGGCTCAAGTGATCCTCCTGCCTCAGCCTCCCAAGTAGCTGGGTCTACAGGCACGTGCCACCACATCTGGTTAATGTTTCTATTTTTTTGTAGAGACAGGGTCTTGCTCTTGCTCAGGCTGGTGTTGGAGACTGGGCAGACAAGGATGTATTTGAGGATTCCCTGCTACTGGGCAGCCAGGGTGGCTTTTCTCCTGGTCCTAGGTTTCAGGCCAAATAACTGAAGTAGCCCAGGGTCTGAAGTCAACCCTGGTGATTAGCATCTTGAAATCCACTTAGGAACAGTTTCTTTCTGTTTGTGCTCCTCAAGGTATCATCAGAGTTGGGCCACACATCTGGAGCAGTGGTCTGCAATTATCAGAGGCTAATAAAAAGCCTCACCTTAAAGTTACCGGGCTGGGGGCAGGAGGAGGACATTCTGGACGTCTGAGCTTCACAGCAGGCCAGACTTGGGCTGGAAGACAGACAGCACACTCACTCTTAGGAGGGCAGCCGACTCAGTGTCCTTTTGGTCCCAAATGCCTTGTATTGGTCGGTTCCTCAGTACTCAAGGACAACTCCTCTGAAATAAACTAGGTAACACACCCCCCAAAATAAATTCAATCCTCCTGACAAAACTGTTGAAAGCAGAGCAAAATGATCTCCAGCACATAGCAATGTCTTGCAACATTACTGTAAATACACTGGGAAGTGAAACATTATACAAAGCTGCCAAGATTTAAATTTAGGATGCATGTGATATCTGCGTGGGCTAACCCAGGGTGAGATGGGGAAGGAGCCAGAAGAGGCTCTAAAACCCAGGACTAGTATCCTCTCTTCTTTGGGCTAGGAAAAGGAATTTCACCACTAGTTGGATTACCTCACACATGCAAAATTATGTATATTGTTAAGATATAATAGTATGCTAAGCTTGAATTTAGTATACAGTTTGGAAATGCACAAAACTTTCTATGTGTAAAAAGGAACCAAAACTATAAATATACAATTAACTATATATGCAAAATGAAGATGCTAATGGCGGCAATGAAATTAATTTTAATAGACACACACACAAAAAATCCTAAACCCTAAAGCTAATTGAGTGGGTTGATTTACCAGTCCCTACCTCAGTTCTAGAACCAGCCATATAATTCTGTTCTTCAACCTGAGTCATATTTGCTGTTACCCTGCTCCTCTCACCTAACCTAGATGGAATCATCTGGATTAATAACCCTTTGCAACAGTGCAGAAAGTGTTTCCACTTCAATTTGCTGCATAAATTCAAATTCTCTCATTATGAGTTAATTTCTAACATATTTGGCTGATGTGATAGGGAAGCCATTCATTCTACAATAGCGGAATGTCTAAAAGATATTTACAGCGTGCAAACAAAAGCCTGAATCGTGTGCGTGGCTGAAAACTGTCAGCTGACCTAACAGAAGCAGGGAAGGTGGGCCACATTAGTACCATTCCATTTTTAAAAATAGGACAAGATGTCCTTTGTACCTCAGTGTATTATTTCAGAAGGGGGAAGAATGTTTTTCCTTTATTATCTTGTCTTAATTTTTTGAAGTTACAGGTATGCTTCAATTCTGTAATAGTTAATTCTCATAAACATGTTCTAGATTTAATTCAAATGTGCTGGGACCTAGCACCTTGCTGAGATCCAGTACTGAAGGGCAGGGAAGCGAGAAGATTTATGAGTGAGTCCTGACAGTAACAAATGACCTCTGAGAAGTACCGATGCTATTTAGAAGTGACAGCTTACATAGTAAGTGCAGAGTTGGAACAGTTGAGCTGCAAAGACCTGTACCATTAGAACGAGGCCGGCTGAAGTGCAAACAGGCACACACATGTATGTTTGAATGTGTATAAGAGTGTATTTATCCATCAAAAATCTCCCAGGTTACATTGATTTGTAGAAAGTTTAAAATCCACAACATATGTTCCAAAACACAAAATCACACAAAGATTCTTGAGCCTCTAGGGAAGCCCACAAAACCCCACCTAACCCAAAGGTAACTAACTGCAGTGCAACCAAGTATTAACAGGGACTCGAGACCGTACCACCATGTACACCATTTCAAAAATGCCAAGGGCACCGATCTGCCACAGGGAGCAGGGAGCCCCTTTGACAGCCCAGCTGGGCAGTGGGCGCGGGGCGAGTCGGGCAGAGTAGGGCCATGGGGTTGGGTTGCTTCCTACCCCCGGAGGGTTTGAACCGGCCTCTGGGATCTGTGAGAAAGAGCCCTGCGACAAATGAAATAGTGTCCTCTTGGCAATAGGAAGAGAAGGCAGCACAGGCCCCACATTTGCTATCTTTGGGCAGAGACATAATTTACAGGGTCATCACTAGAAATGAGTAGTAGCTTACAACGTGTCAGTACTATTCAAATAGCTTTACATTTCATTATTTCTCACAGCATATGAAATTGCCATTTTTGTAAGTGAAAGTTGGTCAAATACTGCCACTCTGATGTGGTTCAAACTACCATTCTACAGATTCTCCCACCTGATAGATTTGAAAGAAAGAATAACTTGCCCAACGTCAGAAACCTATACAGGGCGAGTGTTCTTGCAGGAACAAGGAGAACCCCAAAAGGGGGATGGTTGAAGACACTGCATGGAAGACTGTTCACAAATAGGGCTAAGGGACAAGAACAAGGATGGGGAAGCTCCTTGGAAAGTCACCCTAGAGAGGGGTGGTGGCCCCTGGAGAGGGGGCTGGAGCCGTAAGCCAGGTGGGTTGAGCACAGTATAGAAGGGAGGGGGTGGGAGGGAGAGGTGACAAGTCACCACTGCTCATGCAGGGCCTGGGAAGAGGCATCAGCATTTTTCTTTTTTCATATCTAAGGGGCTGAAGTCAGGCGTTCATTCTTTTTGACGTATAGCGCCTGTCAAGCAACTCCGCGGGAGTCATTCTGGGCACAGCAGTCATTTCATGGACTATTGCAGCGGAATGACAGTTCAGTATTAGTCACAAGTCCTTAAATAACATCCATTTATCGCCTGCCATTAATTAATTATCCGGCTGACCAACACGCTCAACCAGATTTCTGTCTCCCCTTCATCTCCCGCTCGCCACCAGTTTATCTTTAGGAAGAAGGGGAAGGACAAGCAAACACGCTACTGTCATATATTTACAAAGTCGTCTATACCCACAGTGTAAGTTCCTGGACTTCGTCAGTTGAGCCTGGTGTTGCTCTCGACCTTCTTCCTTCAAACTGTGGCTGACGCTCTGCGTCACTCTGACACGCAGTACGTACGTGGCTGACGCTCTGCGTCACTCTGACACGCAGTACGTACGTGCCCTACGTGCGACGTCTCCAGCATGGGGCTTGCTCCAGCCTCTGCGCTTCCGGCCAGGGAACGCCAGGTGTAGACCTGAGTGTGCTTCCTGGGCACCGGTTCGCCGCTGCTCCTGCGTCTCAGAGTGCCCACCCTCCCCCCCTGTCGCCGACAGGTAGGAAACTGTCCCTTTCCCAGAAATGACTAGAAGCAGCCTGGGAAGTAATCCCTACACAGGGAAGTCAGGTTTGCTCCCATTCCTCCTGCCCTGAGGACATCTTCAAGGTGAAGGGATTTATTCCAAAAGCAACGTTCAAGCAACCGTCCTGCGGTCAGTACGCCCCGATGTCCCCTGCCTCCACCTGCTGTCCCACCACCCCACCGTGAGACCCGACATGGAGACGCCCATGCACGGGAGATCCCGAAAGGGTGCTCTGGGTCGTCACGGAAGGAATTATTCATAGTATCGCTGGAACTTGGTATATTACACGGTAATGCCAGTTTTTAAACTTTGATAACTTGTGCAGGGACTGTACGGCATAAACTAGTCAAACTCTTCTATCCCAACCATTTCTGGTAATGGAGAGTTTTTAATTTAAAATTTCAATTTAGTTCTTCTATCTTTTTAAGTAGTTCCATTTATTCTTCTTTTGTACTTGAAGAAACAGCTCTTCTATCTTTAAACCGTCTCTACGTGGAAACATTGCCACTGATACAACGCAAATCTAGAATTACAAAACTGGGAATAGTACTTGATAAGAAACCCAGTCCTTCTCCACATCTTCTTACAGGGCATCCTAAGCCGCTCCCCAAAGCTGACTTTTGTTCTGTTTATTATTATTATGACTAGAAAGGAGATTCTCCACTACCTCCATTGCCTGCCCCAAGTCACAGAAATCCTTCTTTTGCCTCTAATCCAGTCTTCTCTTTAAGGTGCTGACTTCAGACTGCCCTATTGGTAGGAGGAGTTGCAATCACAAGCTGCAGCCAGGGCGGCTCAGCCTTTGCACTGGTGTCTTGCCCTTGGGGCATTTCCTTACTGCCCTGCTTGTCGGCATCCACAGTTCGTTTAGGTTAATGTCGCAGTTAACTTGCAGTCGATGACCGTTTGGAAGGCAGGGTGCTAGGCCTATGAAGCACACCTAGGGGAGAAGCTTCTATTTTCTGACAGTTCTACTCCCCACCCCCCACCCCCTTCTTTGGGGTCTGATGAACACTACATTTCCTTCAAGGATCAATTCCAATGTCACTTCTATCCCACCTAGACTAGGCTCCAGGAAGAGCCTCTCCTCTGGGCTCTTAATTTTCACTCACCACTATTACATTTCCTATCACATTATATTGTATATTGATTTTTTTGTCCACTTGCACATCTCCTTATGAACATCTTTATCAGTGGTCACGATTGATTCTGCTGTAGTGTATTTTAAAGCTTTATGAATAGTTTACGTTTAAGGCCTATTTGGGGTGATTCTAACAAATGAATGCTGGAGTGCTTTTGGGGGCATCATTACAATATATATTTTTTAATTAAATTTTATTTTGTAATTGTCACATAATAATTGTACTTATCCATGGGGTAAATAGTGATGTTTCAATAGATATAATGTATAGTGATCAGATCAAAGCATTTAGCCTATCTGCCATCTCAAACATTTATCATTTCTCTCTGTTGGGAACATTCAATATCCTTTTAGCTATTTGAAGTATTTATTATTATTACTGGTGCCTCCTGGGAAACTTTCTATTTTCTGTCACTTCAGTTATTCCTATCAATGTTTTCAAGGTGAGGCCGGCTGTCCCTGTCAGACACAACCTCTTTTACTGGACCCATTACTTCCATCCTGACTACTGGTGTTATGGTTGTTGCTTTCATCCTTTTGTCATCCTTGTTTAGTGTCCCTGGGAGTCACCTGCTCTGAGCTCACAGACTCCCAATATGTGGGGAGACAACAAACAGTACTGCCTTTAGCCTGTGCGGCATTTGAAACATTCCTTATGGTGACTTTTAGAATATTGTCGCAATAAATCTCTACAATAATTAGTACGTGGATGAGTAATTTCCTTTTATAAAAGACACAACTGAATCACAGTAGGTCAAGAAACTTGTCACTCAGCTTCTCTCTGTCCTAAATCAGTGCTCTATCCACTAGGCCGGTAGTTCTCAAAATGTGGTCTCTGGCCCCATGGTATCAGCACTGCCAGCAATGCTAATTCTCAGGCCTTGCCACTGAATCAGGAATCTGGGGCGAGGGGAAGGACAGGATTATAACAAGCCCTCCAGGAGATTCCGATGCATGTTCAATGCTACACGTGACACTCCATATGTGGAGCTCTTGAAACACAGTGGTGCCCAGGCCCCACCCCAGACCAATTAGTTCAGGATCTCTGGAGTGAGGCTCAGCCTTCAGAATTTTTAAAAAAATCCCTGGGGTGATGCTAATGTGCAGTGAAGCTTAAGACCCGCTGCTTGGGATGATGCAGTTCCTGTGGGGCCCATGAATTCTTTCTGTTTTAGTCCTCAATAAGATCCCCAGAAAAGGTATCTGACATAAATCTAGCCAGGCACACAAATGTCCTATGGAATTTTGGAACCCTATTACTTATCAACTCTCTAGATACAAAATGTGTCAATGCAAATATAAACCCCTATACAGAAAGTCACTGTAGCTAATCCACACATATGTGCATGCCTACATAGATATACACCTTATCCCACAAGCAATGCAATAATCATAGTAACTTGTATATTTAAGTTTTGGATCCAATGCACATTTACTGCATGATTAATATCACTAGGCATTGTCAGGTTGACTATTTCGCTGACAATATTAGCTAAATTTTTACCATAGGAAACCATGAACCAGCTACATAAGGGTGGTTCTGGGGCAAGGCCTGAGAAATAGCATTGTTAGCAATGCTGATACCATGGGACCAGAGACTACATTTTGAGAACTATTGACCTAGTGGATAGAGCACTGATTTAGGACGGAGAGAAGCTGAGTGTCAAGTTCCTTGACCTGCTATGTCTCAGATGCATCTTCTATAAAAGGAAATTAACTCACCCACATACATATTATTATAGAGATCTATTATGACCATATTCTAAAAGTCACCATAAGGAATGTTTCAAATGCCGTGCAGGTTAAAGGCAGTACTGTTGTCTCCCCACATATTGGGAGTCTGTGAGCTCAGACCAGGTGACTTCCAGGGACACTAAGAGAACAAGGGTGACAAAAGGATGAAAGCAACAACTGTAACACTAACAGTCAAGATGAAAGTAATGGGTCCAGTAAAAGAGGTTGTATCTTACAGGGACAGCCAGACTTACCTTGAAAACATCGATAAGAATAACCAAAGTGACAGAAAATAGAATGTTCCCCAGAGGCACCATTAATAATCCAAAATACTTCAAATATCTAGAAGGAGGATATTCAATGTTCCCAACAGAAACATCTGTTTTGCGTCCTTCCATAAAGTGATAACTGACCCAGATATAGGAAGGATCCTAGATACAGTTACTCACATCGCTGGAATTACATCATAACAAAAAGATCAGGCAGCTTCTGAACTGAACTTCCCCAAGCGCAGGGCTCTTCTTTCTTAAACAGAGGCAAATGCTATTCCTGAGCTCGACTTCTCAAACACAGAACAAGTGATGCACAGTGTTGAGAAGGAGAGAGAAGAAGGAAAAAAATTAAGTTATTATTACATCAAACTGCCATTTTACATTTCACAAAGGATTTCCTTATATGTTCCTATTTGGTCATACACTTTCTCATACAGCTGAAGTTTCATCACAACCCCCTGTGTAGCTGGCTATGGCTCCCTTTTCAACTGTGTCCAAGTAACTGGCTTAAGGTGGCAAAGCTAGTAACTGGCAGGCACTTCAGAGTCTGTTTGGTTGCTTGCTTGCTTAAACAGATAAAGGGCTAATGGCAGGTTTACGTAGAGGAGGTAAAAATTAAGCAAACCCAGAGAAGCTTATCTTTCAGTTATACTATGGTGGCACTTAAATTCACCTTCACAGTACACCAAATAACACCTTTAAAAAGTAAAAGCACAGCCTAAACTGCTAATGTGCATCCAGGGAGAAGCTTATTCATCTGTAAAGATCTAACATTAAGTGTTACTATAAATAACTGCATTATCTGTAATAGAAACTCATCTATCTCCCCTCTAATTAGGCAGTGACTAAGGAAGTCAGTATGTTACAAAGGATTTGTAACATTTGGAGACTGTAATAATGGCTTTGAAGTTCTGGGAGAGTCAGTTTTCCAAATTTCTTCTCATTTACATATCTATCTCTCTCCATTATTCTCAGTTCCTAGATAAAATTATTAGTATTATTTCTTGAACTGCTTTTTAGAAAAATATAATGATTATGATAGACCCGTGAAGAAACTTTGGAAAAATAGAACAGCACAAAGACAAAAAATCACTGTATGTTCTCCCCTCAGAGAAAATCACGGCTGGCATTTTGGTATACATCCGCTCAGGCATTTTCTGTGCACAGATAAGCATTTTTATCTAATCAGCACCATAATGTACAAACTGTTTCATCCACTTTTTCACTAACATATTAGGATTATTTCCTACATCCGTATGGTATTCTACCATTTTTGGTGGTTGCACAGCATTCTATCTTATGTAAATGCCATAAATTATTGACAGATTTTCCACTTGGCTGAGTGTCTAGACTGTTGACACTTGTTGGATTTTGTGAGCAACACTGACCTAGCCACCCTTGCACCTTCAGTCCTGTATACTGAAGGTTTCTCCTTAGGACAAATCCCCAGAAGTGGATTTGATGGGTCAAAACTTTACAAAATTTAAGACTATCTGTCTATGTCAATCCTAGTCTGGACAAATGACTAGATGACTCTCTCACCAGCAGTATGCTCCAGAGGCTTCTGCTTTGCATCCTCACCAAAGCTTCAAATTAAAATGGTTTTGGCCAATTTGACTGTTGAAAATTCGACTGCATAAACATGTGCATTTCTTTGTCATTGCTTGTCTTCAGGGCTCGTTTAGATTCAGTATTATTCAAGGAAAATGAGTAAACTTTGAATTCAGGTGAAAAATATTCTGTCTCCTCACTGTATGATGGAGTGCTCTAGAAACCCATGAATTATCGTGGCAGATAAGTTTTCTTCAGCTTGCAAGAACCTGGCCAATCTGTTACTGATTACATTCATCTCAATGAAACTTGAGAGGTGTGTGTATTCAGAGCCTACTTCCATTCCATCTTAGGAATCTAACTTAGAATCTTTCCATGGGATACACGCAATTTCAAAGGACTGCTCCTGTGAGCAGCTTGAACTGCATGATTCTTCAGTTGCTTTTAAGCTTGAACCTTCTCTGGTTTTTGAGCATCACTAATAGCCTTGGGGTGAGAGGCCCGAGGAGAGAGAAGGTCCTTCTTCTTTTTTTTAGGCTCCATGGAGACAGCATAGGCTGTCATTCTTGGTTATAGTTCAGCTGGCATTGTGGAACCTGGGACTCAAAGGAATATTTGGGGATAAACTAGTCCAACTTCTTTATTCTAAATTAATAAACTGGTACTCAGACTAGTGAAGGCAGTTATTTGTTCAAGATCACAAATCTAGTTAGTGCCACCTTCGTGCTTTCACCAGGATTTGTTTCCTAGTCCAGGTTCTTTAGTCCTTGGACACATTTCCTTTCATAGAAGACAAAGACAAGGGCTGTTAACATACAGATTTTTGAAGTTATACACAGGGCAGTGTGAAATGTATGCGTAGAGATTAAGAAGAGTAACCCAGTGAAGCCTCCTCCTACCACCCCCAGAAGCCCCTGTGGGACTCATCACAGCCCTCCCTTCTCCCAGTTAGGAGTAAGCTCCATCCTGACTTTTGTGTTAATCATTTCTTTGTTTTTAGTTTAGTTTTTACCACCTACATATCTTTCCCTGAACAAACATTTTTTGGGCAGCAACACAAACCTAGCAGTGCAAGGAAAGGGTACTTCACAGTTGCCACTTGGAAACTAACTCACACCTTCAAACTTGGGAAGTTTCCGTGAGTTATGGCGATGATGGTTCCAATCCTGGAACTCCAGCTACTGGGGTGGTGTCCCTTCTAGACTGCTCTGCTTCGATCTTGTCTTGCATTTTCCCACCTCTTTTATTTTATGCTGCACTTTCTAGATTTCCCCAAATTCCCAAGCATTCTACTGAATTTTTTATTTCTGCCATTGTGGTTTTTTTTTTTTTTTTTTTTTGAGACAGTCTCGCTTTGTTGCCCAGGCTACAGTGAGTGCCGTGGCGTCAGCTTAGCTCACAGCTACCTCAAACTCCTGGGCTCAAGCAATCCTGCTGCCTCAAGACTCCCGAGTAGCTGGGACTACAGGCATGCGCCACCATGCCCGGCTAATTTTTTCTATATATATTAGTTGGCCAATTAATTTCTTTCTATTTATAGTAGAGACGGGGTCTCGCTCTTGCTCAGGCTAGTTTCGAACTCCTGACCTTGAGCAATCCGCCCACCTCTGGCTCTCATAGTGCTAGGATTACAGGCGTGAGCCACCGCGCCCGGCCTGCCATTGTGTTTTAATTTTGAAAGCTCCTTTATGTTCTCTGAATGTTTCTCTGTAGCTCTGATTGTCTTTTATGGATGTGGTGTATTCTTTGCTCTGAGGCTGTTACTTTTTTCTTTTTAAATCCACTTTGCATAGTCTGGGGCAGTGACAGGTGAGGGCGAGTGATGTGAGTTGCCCAGGTATCTGGCTTGCACAACAGGATGAATAGAACATCCGCATGAACAAGTGGTTTTTATTCATAGCCACTCCTTTGTAAGGTTTATTCTTAGATTTGTCCTCTTGTTATCAAGTTAGATGTCCTTTAGTGTCCCTGCAATTTTGTGGTATTAAACACAGGTGGAAGGTGTCGTGGGATCAGCAACAATGGAGTGACGACTGAGGTAGGACAGGCCAAAGCCCTTTGGAGCTGGTCTTTCTGCTGCCCCCAGCCCATTCTGCAGTGGAGCACATGTGTGCACATGCGTGTGTGTGTGTGTGTGTGTGTGTGTGTGTGTAACCACACTGGTGGGGGCATCAGCTCCTGCTGTCACCCTTCTTCAGAGTTAAATAGCTCTGATGAGAAATTATTTGTTAAACTATTTCTGAGAACACAATTTTACACTCACCAATGGCCTGCCACAAAAATGTTTTATAGAAAAATGGAATAATCCAGTTTTACTTCATGAGTAAATATCCATTAAAAATACAAGGGCACCTCTACGGCAATCCCAGGCAGACACCTCTATCCTGGTTAATCTGACATAGTGAGACAGATAAAAACAAAAATAGCATTTAACGGAAGGTATGTATAATGCCTGTTGGTAAGTTAGAAGCAATTTTGGATTCATGTTCTAGACTCTGATTTTTAAAAAATAGCTAGGGCCGATGTTGACTTAAGTGATAGAGCAGTAGATGTGCTGGGAAAAGGGTGACGTAATGAGGGAAATGGATTACACTGATTGTTTAAGAAAACGGGCTGAGCGAGCCCGCGAGGTGCACGATCTCACGCTGAGCGAGCCCGCGAGGTGCACGATCTCACGCACTGTGCCCGGTGAGAAGGGACGCGGCAGCTCTGCGACATTTGACAGGAACACAGACCAGATGGGAATGAGAAAGTCCCTGTGGGAAAGTGAGACGGCATGAAACCCCCCATCACCAGCGTTGCCCTCGTTTCTCTCTGTGGCAGTGGACGTCTCTGCACCGCTGCGGTTCTCTGACCCCAACCCTCCGGGAGGACAAGATGTGTCCACACACGCGGGGGCCTCCACAGCCCGCCAGGCCCAGCCCAGCTCCACCGGATGGAAAGCGCCGTGCCTGGACTCCCGACCCACAGAAACTGGGAGGTGACAAATGTATAGTTTCTTCTGGCTGCTGACGTGGCAATTTGTCATACAATAAAAAACAGAGACAGATGTGGGTACCACAAGTGAGGCACAGCTGCCACAGATACCCAAGTATGTGGGAGCGGCTTTGGAACCCAGCAGAGGGTGGGGGCTGGAAGAACATTGAGGGGCGTAAGAGAGAAGGAAAAGAGAGCTGGAAATATACAACGTCCTCGACGATGTACGGTTTCTTATAAACGAAAGGGCACCTCTTGGCAAGGACAGAGAAGCACAAACACGCTAGCTGTGGTTTAAAGCAGCTAACACGGGTAGAAGGTGACGGACAAAAGCAGGCAGATCCTGGCACAGGCACCCCTGGGGCACCACTTACTGTTTTTGTATAAATAACGTGTTTACTTTTCTAAACATAGTTTTGATTGGCCCAAAACACAATTAAAATGATGCTTCGGTTCCTAAAATGAATACTTAGTATTGACAGTAAGCACAATACTGTCACTCCTTTAGAGACAAATGACAAGAATTTGACTCCTTCAATAAGACCAAGATATGTGGTTAAATCTAATGATTTTCTAAAAGAAAGTTGTTTTTTTTAAATCAAAGTTTTTTGAGAAATTTGTTAAAGAACACAAAATTACAGCTAAACAAGAGGAATAAACTCCAGTGTTCTATACTGCTGTAGAATCACTATAGCTCACAATAATATATATTAATAGTTTCAAATAGCTACAAGGAGAATTTTGAATGTTCCTAACAACAACAACAAAAGAATATGAGATGATGGCTATGCTAATTAATCTGATCACTGTATGTTATATATGTCAAAACATCACTATGTACCCCATAAATATGTATAATTATTATGTGTCAATTAAAAATTTTTTTAAAAAAGAAAGTTAGGTAAAGTATGATGTCATAGGAAATGCCAGCAAGTGCAGGCATCAGGTTGGCAGCTGGTAACAAAGTCTTAGTCCCTGGCATGAGAGGAGTTTGACGTGAATGAGCGGCTGGACAGGCTGCACAAGTCTTTGTAGAGCATGTCGCTTGATTTGTTCAGCTACGGAGCTGATGTCTGAGACAGAGAGATATCTTTGGTAGAGCAAAAGTACCCAGAAACACTGGGTTTTATAGCAGAACCTCTTTTCTTATAAAAATAGTCAAACTTTGAAAATGAGATTCTATGATATACTTTTTAAAGCCTTTGTAGGCAACCAAACATTTAGATACAATTATTTGATTCCTATCTTCAATCCCTCAAAGGGTCCACACACTGTATATACTTTGTTTTTTTCAATCTTGTGAAGACAGGATATCTCTACAATGCAGATGAACGAGGCCTTTGATGTCACGCAAATGTTACCTCTGGGCTAAACACATACAATATGGAAATTACTAAACACAGAAACTTAGAGCTTTCAGTGCATTTACTGTTTTTATTTCGTTATGCAGAAACATACATTCACCGTGGGCTGTGATGCAGGTGACAGTGTAATGGAGAATATATCTTTTTGAAGGCTATTTATAACTAACCACTAAATAGTTTTAATTACAGTGGAAAGTCTGTACAGTTTAAGGCTTGGCTCTGAACTAGGTTGTAAATACGGACCAGATTTGGAAATAAAACATGTTTTTTTCAAGTAAAAGAAGAAAAATCAATTTAAAAAACACAAGGAAAAAGAAACAAAGAAAGAAAACAAAGCAATAGAAGCCCAACAGGTTCTCCTGGAGTGAAATGTCATAATATTGTAAACTAACAAAAATACAGGGTTTTCTTCCCAAAATAATGACAATTTACATATTTGGGACTTGTTCGGGAACTCTGGAGAGCTTTCCGGATTAAACGCAGACCAAAGCAGACAGTAGGAAGAAATCACAATTAATATGCTAAAATCAGTACTACCTTATGAAGAATGAAATTAGATACACAAAGCAAGATTGTAAGCGTTAAATATTTCCAGAGGGTCAGAGAGTAATTACTGTTTACGGATGAAGAGTAATAAAACCAGATGAAACAAGTACAAGATTCAAGTTGTTTACTGAATAAACTCGGTTATTGGCACATCTAATCTGGGATAAATTTGACACACCAGACCTAGACAGCTTCTAGTATTTTAGGGTAATCTTCATTTATCTGTAAACAAAAGATCTGTCATCTAAGAAACTGCAATTCTGTTTAAGACTTTAATAATAAACTATGAAAGGCATGAATTGTTTATGTGTTACATGAGATCACGGTTTATATTGTTGGTTATGAACGTGCAGGTATAGCTGAAAACTTAGACATTTTGTGAAATTAAAAATGCTGCTCTTTTGTAATTTTATCGTTGCTTCATGCAGTATCAGTTTAGTGATGCTGATTCAGATTGCTTTATTATGGGAAGATCTCTCTGCCAGTGTCTTTATGAATGGTCAAGGTCAATTCTTCTGGATTGAAATTTTCCACAGACAGATACAAGTCAGTTGGGTTAGAAGAGGGAACTCCATATAGGCTCTGGTTTTCCTAATGGTTTGCATGACCGGATTCGTGTGCAAACTAAATTATTCCTGTAGAAAAGAGATTTGATTCATTACCCATTGGAAAACATCTGAAAATTTTTCCCAGATCAAAGTCACCAAAAAAGTATCTTGGAGGTTTAGAATGCTCTTTTTGACAAGATACCATGCTTAAGTAATTTACAATATCACTCAAGTGACTGAAGTTCACTGACGAGAATCTTTTTGCTATCTTCTAAAACACATTAATTTGAATATAATGAGTGACTTATATATTTCTTTTTAAAGATATGCCACTCATCAATCTATGTTTCTTAAACTAGTGTTAGAGAACTTACTTATTAAGTCTCTTTAACGTTTTATCACACCACCAAGTGTGCAAGAGGCAACTGTTGCATTCAGCATTCAAAGCCCTCTCAGAAATGCTCACAGTCCCATGAGTTCTTGCATGGCAGGTTAGTATGCATGACAAGTCTGTGCACACATAGACAATACAGTCTGCTCATGACACTGGCCAAACAGCTGCTGGAAAGGCAGGCACGTCCTGCAGGACCACAAGACTGCATATTTGCATCCTCATGAGATGCAATGCTACATTAGGGAGAAAAATCATCCCAAAGAATGCAGGAAACACAAGACATCCAAAAAGCAAGTGCGTGCTCATGTTTCAAATTAAAAAACAAAACACCAAAGTATAAACCAGCTATAACCAAACATAGCTGAAAAGAAAGGTTACGGTGAAATAGCGTTGCCATCAAAATGAGAAAGGGGTGTATGTTACTTCCCTAGTATTTGAAACACACAAATTGAACCTCTCAGAACAAAGTTGCCTCAGTTCTGATTTGGCCACATGGCAAGTGAAATCAAATTTGACATTTCAAATTTGGATAAAGAGTGCAGGGCATGGATTAAGAAGGAACACCGTGAGACCACTGGAGCAAAGACTGCTTTTCCTTAGTCCTCTAACTGGCAGTACATGCACACACCCACAAGTATGGAACCTCCAAATGTGACACAAGTGGCACCTGCAAACCAATTCTCCATCCTCTTGGTAACCAGCCCTGTAAACGCCAGTGAGAGCAAAAAGGAGAGGAGGGGTCAGGCGAAGGGTGAGAGGGAAGAAAGAGCCCATGCCACATGCCAGCCTAGGCAAGCCTGGAGAATCGGTGCCCCTCTTACCTCTGGTCAATCCTCTCCGTCCTCTGGTGTGATCTCTGTCTCTTTATGGACCACTACTTTGGTCACTGACATGTCAGGGTGCTGCTCTTTGGCCTCTTTAATTGCCTGAGCCAGCGCCTATCCCCAGGAAATCACGGAAAGGCGAAAACAAAAAGGAGGTGGAACATGCATGATCAGTAGCAAGGTGGAGACTTACAAGCTAGATCTATATTCACAATTTACAAATGAGGAACGATGATTACAAAAGGGATTGTAAATCATATATTGAAAAGTTAATTCAGAACATTTTCTAGAACACATGCTGGACTAGAAGAACTGCACTGGGAATCAGAGGGCCCATAGGTTTTTCTTTGTTTTTCTGCCCGGGTATTTATTGTCTCACACATACTACCTGGTCATGGTCAATGTCTGCATCTCCTGTGATGACTATTCGCTTTTCAATTCTTGTCTCCGAAATGCCGCCTTTCACGGTCTGAAAGCAACAAAGAAAAGCTTTACGAACTTATGCAACAGGAGAAACAAGAAAATGGTGACAGATCGTTAAGTAACATCACTCATTCTTTAAGAACTGAAGTAGAATTCTGCAGCAGTTATTTAACATTTTTAATTTCAGAAGTGACAACAGAGTGGAGTCTTTTGGGATTAGATGGCCAGTGCTTCTGCAACACCTACCACATGCCAAGTGCTAGAGAAGGTGTTTGTTAAGCACTGGAGATCAGAATGGACATTCCTAAACAGAGACTCGCATGTAAGAACAAGAGCATCATAAACAGAAGTTGTAACAGCTTTTCTTGTAGCTTTGCTGGCATCCTGATGGTCGAGCCACTATGGGCTTGTGCAGCCCGCCCTGTAACAAGTCCTGAACGAGCGCCTTTCGCCAGCTCTCAGGGAACCCCCTCTGGCTCCCGGCCCACTTACTTTGGTGATGTGCGTGGTGGTGGTGGTGCTGGTGGTTTCAGACGTGATCGTCTGTGCGCTCATCAGCACACCCGGCTCCAGATCCGTCCCAGGATCCACCTAAGCAAGCACAGGGACAGACACCTCACCCAGGTGCTTACCTTTCCTACGTTACTTAAGGCATTACGGTGATTTCATTATCTCCAACACACTGCGCTGTTCAATCAGCGTCTGGAGCTGCCACCAAGGGTGACAGCTAAGCATAACCAGAGTTAACTGTCATTTGAAAATCCAGGATTTTAGAAATGTGAGCAGTGGATGGTTCAGTGAATATTTTCCTTCCTCTATGGCTAGGGAAATAGATTTCTGCACCTTTTTCTATATTTTGAGATACATGAACACTTGGTGAAGTCACCTGCTGCTCCACAACCAGTAAAAAATTACAATTCTTGCATCACTTTTGACAAAGCCAATCTGGCTGCCGATCGGATCCTCTAAGTCTGGTGAATTAAGTTCTGTGTAGTTATATTAATATGTAATTGCCTTAGGCTGTAAAAAGTGGTAAAACAAAATGCCAGGGCTCTGGTCTTCATAGATTGTCTTACCTGTGATGATTCATACGTGATAGTTTTTGTTTCAGTGTGCACGACTGGCACCTCCTTGGTAGAAATTTCTAGCTTTGCTCCTGGCGAAACACTACCAAAACTTATGGTTTCTGTCTTCACAGTTGATGACTGTGCCAATGGGAAGAAAGTAGAGTGGCTATTATAGTTTGCACAAACACATAGTTTTGTTTCCCCCCCTTTCATCTTTGGTGGTTTAAGCACAGATCAGTATGGAACAAATGTTTCAGGAAGTAATTGGAGAATGAGGGGCATATATGTCAGTCTCCCAGAATTCTGCAACATTTTTTATATGGACTGTTTCAGGTAAACATTCTGAGGAAAATAATAATAATAAAAAATTATAAATAAGCCTTCTATTTAATAAATTCTTAGAAGAAACAATTAATAAGACATTAACCCCCCAAATATTTTAGGGATCTCAACAGAAGAGAATAATGACTAAAGTTCTGGCATCTGGTACTTGGGCAAAGGATGGTTTTTGGTCTTTCTGGATAAGCACGTTGATCAGAAATAAATGTATCAACTTTTCTAATATCTCAGCCAACCATGCATTCCCCGGGGGTACTGTCAATTACAATAATTTCAGTGGGAGCAGATGCCATTTTCTGGAGCTATATATTACAAATCATCAGGAGATGTGTTTGCATGTGACCCAAAACTGGGAAACCAGCACTGAGACCCCTAACTGCTGTGCAAGAAGGAAATAAGAGAGACAAACCGCACAAGGAAAAGGTAAAGCATTAACTTTAGCTTCACCTTTAGTGCCAAGACTAACAGTAACGACTGGTTACCTCAAAATGAGGTTTATGTTCCAAAGTCTCAGCAACGTGGACGGCTGTACTCAGCTCCTCTTGCCGCTCACGGGAGGCCGCGGCCGCCTCCTCCTGCTCTAGGGCGGCTTTCCCAGCCTCCTCCCCGCTCTCCTCCTTCGCCCCCTCGGCCAGAGCGGAGCCCTCCTTCCCTCTGGCACCGGAAGCGTCCGCGGGGGGCTGCGCGGCCTCCACGTCGTCCCCGGCCACGCAGGACGCGTCGCCGCTGGCGTGCGCCTTCATCACGCGCCGCTCCTCCACCAGCGCGGTCTCCGGCGCCGCCTTCTCGGCGCGCGGCGGCGGGGCGTGCGGGGCCGGCGGCGCCTCCGTGCCGCCCGACTCCGTCTTGCTTTCCATTTTCTGCGTGGGAGAAGATTGTGGCGTCAGTGAGACTCTCCATAAACCAAAGGGCACAACCTAACGAAAGCCGCCACTCGACGGGACGCCCAAAGCAGCATCAACCAGAAGCGCCGATGGAAAATATAAACTAGCTTTCGTCCCTCCTGCTCTCGAGGATCTTTGATGCCCGCCCTGTACGCATGCTTGAACCTACGCTGCCACTGCAGGACAGCGGCCAAACAGAACGCCGTATCAAATGCAACTTTTTTTTTTTAAGGGAAGCACTGTAGCACATTCACATTGGTTTTGGTTGCTTTCTTAGACCCAACTGGTGAGATAAAATGCTTTTATAATAAAAATTAAATGCTTTGAAAATTTCTCGACATGCTTGCCTTTGCAATATCTGAAGTACATTCTTGAGATGGAGCCAAAGGCATGTGACAGACACACCAAACAGGCACAAAAGACAACTGAAGACATCCAAAGCCACTTGGATGTCACACACCCCCCCCCCAAAAAAGTTAGAAGGAAATGCAAATTAGCGCATTCAGAAACATCAAGGACAGAAGCGAATGACCACCTGAACCCAGCTTTGAGAAGTAGAAGCAACCCCTCCTATGAATTCTGTTGGTTTTCGCGCTGACTCTAATAAACTGAAGATTTCAGAGCCGTCCATGAGTTTTTCGCCAGAAATCTGCTTAGTCTGAGTGAACAGAGAAAGGCAGAGTCAAGCACGAGAGAGACGAACTCAGGCACGCACACATTCGCAGCAGGTTAGACAACCGTAGGCAGAGGAAGAAGGGAGGAGGAATGAAGGAACCTCACATACAGAGTTTGGAAACAGAAAAGAATGGGAAATAAAATAGCAAACTGGGGTGACCAGGCGCTCTTGTTTGGTAAAGCGGAGTTATTGGGGTCAGGGTGGCGCCGACTCAAGCAGATCATGTTTTCCTTCATTGCAAGCCACAGCAGCACTACCACACCTTGGGGAAGGGGAGCTGGAAATAAAATGGAGAGTGTCTGAATGCCCACTGTGCGCTGCAGTACTGATTTAACCATGAAAAAAATCAAAAAGCCGGGTTGGCTGGCTCTGAACATAAAGCCAAGCAGCAAGAGAAACGGAAGGGTCTGGGGTGGAAGGGCACTGCCTCAAGGACCGTCATGCTGCATCGGAAACTGTGGCCTGAACGAGCGCCATGGTTACCGCCACTCGGGACGCCGACGACTCGGTAACGTAATGTGCAGTGGCCACGGTAAAGGCCGGTTCCTGGGAGTATCTCCATTCCGATAGGCTCTTCCTTCGGGGCCCAAAGAGCCCCACTTTTAAGACCTCACTCTCCAGCACTTGCTCCTTTTTACCAAACCGTCCACTTTCTGGGCCAGGGTGGACAGCCGCATCCTTCCCCGGCGCGGGGACCTTCCTGAGGTCGTCCTCCTCAGGACTCTGCCGCCGAGACTCGGCTTCCTTGATGGGCGCCAGGGATTCCGACAACTTCCGCTTCGGTGTGTGGGCCTCAGGGCCTCTCTTGGATTTCTCATCTGCAAGGGCCTCCAGGACCTCGTATTCTGCCAGAACAGGAGCGATCTTCTCGGACTCCGGTATCCCCCTCTCCATTTTCTTTAGAGCTTCCAGAGTGGAGGGTGACACCACTCTCTCCCCCTCTTTAGCTCTGCCGGTCATGGTGACAATTCTTCCGGAGACAGTGTCGTAGGATTTTCCCAGAGTGTATATTTTCTCTTTGCCGTCTTCTTTCAGTTGCATGTCTCGAGCCAAGTCATCGAAGCTCTCCATGGTAATAGCACCAGATTTTAACAGGTCAGCCGGGAGGTCACCAGTTCTACTGCTCACTGTCACCACCTTGTAAGTCACAATCTTTCTCGAATCACCATCAACTACCTCAGCGGGTATTTTGTCTACAATAACCCAATCCTCTGTGCCCTATATTTGAAATATAAAAGCTAAATTAGAAATTCTGATGGTATCTCATTTCTGAAATAAGAATCCTTTAAGAAAGTCAGGGCAAGAGCTACACACAGGTTTGTGATGGGCCTGCAAAGGGCTAGTGTTATTATCTAATAATTATGACTGCAATCTCCTCTCTGACACTTATAAACTATAACCTTCAACTGGGAATACCTCCTGCAGGTACAGCCATAATTTCAGATTTCTTTAAATAGGAACATACTTTCGTGGTAAATTTTGCAAGAAATATATTTGATCTTATGATAAAGTTCTAATCATTTTATACTTGAAGTTCAAATGACGTTATTGAAGTTGTACAAGTTACTTGGCTTCATGTGTGAGGACACAAAAGGACGGTTTTCTACATTAAATACACTACTTTTTATACTGCTGTTCTCACAAAGAACTTGCCAACATTCTACAAATTTCTGTAAATACCATTTTCCAAATTTATAAACTGTCCTTCCCTATACAGGGAAATGAATCCGCTCTAGCACTGACTATCCAATACATACTGAGTGAGCCCGTGTCCAAGCTGTCGTGAAGAGGCATTTCCCACTGACAGGACATGGTGGGAGCCTCTCACGCACAGGCCATGTGAGCCGTACAGAGTTCCAACCATATTTACAACTAAAGTTCACTGTCGTGGTCACTTTCTTGCCCGCCTTGCTTGGTGTTAGTTCCAACGAGGCAGAGAAACATGAAAGTTAAGAAATCTCTGTATTTGGAGAGGCCCAACAGGATGTGACCAGGTGGGTGACTAGCCTGACAGGTTACAGAGGGATTACAGAGAGAACAAAGCAGGAGCAGTGAGCCTTGCTTTTACATTTAAACTAGGATACTTTATACTTTTGTATTTATCATAGCCTGAAAACTTGAATCTAGGAAAATGTGTGCCTGAAGGAAAATGGTTTCAGCTTATCTACAAGCTGGTGTTGGATTAAATGAAATAAATTGAAAATTAACCTCTAGGGCCGATGGGACAGTTTTCTGGAAAATTATTTGACGAGAAGTAACCATAGCGTCAGCAGAGTCGCCTTCCTGAATTTTCTTTATCACACTGGGCTAGTGGGAAAACCAATAAAAGTTCAGAACTTTCAAAATCAATCAATGTCATCTAAATCAGCACCACTCTATGAGTAAAAAAGGCAGTAGAAAGTTTCAGTAAGATTACTGTGAGAAAGTACAATCATAAAGCTTCAATGACAGCAAACAGATAAAATCACCTCCGAGTAGAAGACACAGAGAAATGACGCATAACTGATTAATGAAATATTAAGAACATTCCATCTTCCCTTCCCCAGAATCTAAGTCAAAATTATATACCCACCTCAGTATCAAACAAGATACATTTTAAAAGGAAAATAAAAACTAAGGACATTTCAATGACACTGAATTCTGAAGAGCAATTGCTTTTGGAAGATCCTTTATGTGTTTTTTTTACCTGAGACTCAAGGAATGGAGAGCTTCCTTGCTGCAAAAATATAACTTTTTCAGAAATTTCTCTTTCTTCTTTGGTCTGTTTAAATAAAGGGGGTTGGGTTGGAGAAGAGGAAGCAGACAGTTTCCAAAAAGGCAAGTTAGGAAGAGAGTTCTTTTATTGTAATATATATATATATTAATATTATATAATATATTATATATTAAAAAGTGAGTATTAAAAGAAAATGTTAAGAAATTTTTAAAAATTTAAGTTAGGTTTAAATCCTGATTTCTATTTCTGACAAGTATTTGATTATATTCACCATTCATGTGCTGCCTGTTACAGAGTAATGAAATAAAACAAGGTTACTGCATTAGCCACTCATTTGAATAAACCCAGTTACACTTAGATTGATTTCTTTACTGTCCCACAAATAAATAAAAAATACTCAAGGTTACAGTCAATTTCAAAATATCTTAGTGAAAAATTAAGTATATCAATTCATATTGTTCTTTAACATATATAATACAAAGAAATATTAAAGTATATATTTCATGTTAGGAACTAGTTTTTTTACTTTTTAATTACTTTTTATTCCTTTCTTTGGTATTAAATAGGCATAATTCTGGTGGCAATACCTTAGCTACCAAGCCTAGCTCTGCACAGTGTATAGCTCCACACAAGGGCACAAAGGATATTGTGGAAGATTGAATAATGTAAAAAATAATCATGGAAACTTCAAAGTTTCTAGAAGAATATAATTCTTTAAATAAATCTTATCATTGTGAACAATATAATTTTATGAGAACTACTTAAAATTCCCATTTATCTACAAATCTATCAGTACTATATTTAATCATTTGCTTGTAAGAGGTTGTAGGGGAACACCTAGAACATTCTCCTGCAGGACCTACTCACAGATTTTGATAATATCATTCTCATATGACCCTGTCTAATAAGACACAAATAAGCCATTTTCAAAGGAGGAAAAAAAAATCCCTGTCTGCTGCATTTTGGAGGATGGTATTAGAAATGATAAAATGTACCATGTGGAATCACTAAATGTGGATTTTTGTTTCACTTTTCAATCATAGCCTCTTTTTTCTAAACATAAATGAGAAGAGGAAGGAAAGGTCAAAATTATAGGTGCTTTTCAAAATAAATACTGCTAGGTCTCTAATTATAATCACTGAACTAAATATTATTCCTTAGATAAAAAGCTTAACAAAAGTCCCAGAAGAACAGTGGTTTCAGTGTATTCTGTGGTTTGAAACCAACTAAATTAAAAGACGTCTATGTCTTATAATTGAAAATATCAACTCTGTCTACATTTGGCATTGCATTTGTCCAATAACAGACATAGACAGGTAGCATAAGGGGATAGATTTTAGAATTAAATTCTATATATGGTTAACCTCCCAACCCAGTTAGTTCAGCTAGAAGAAAAGTGAACCGGTATTGACAAAGAAAAAGTGATAACCTAAAAAATACTTTCATTAGGTTTTAGAATATAGTTGGATATATATCCCAACCATTTCATTTAGTTTCATCTCTATACCATATTTAGGAAACCCTATGAACTGGCATGCAAAATTCACAACAGTGTCAATCACTCTTGAGTGATTAAGGGTTTCCACAAATACATTTTAGGAAATAGGCAAATTTGTAAATGATGGGAATTGACTGTACTGATTGTCTAGCTCAATGAATACGACTGTAAAACTACCGCTCAGGTAAAAGAGAGGACAATATTGGCACAGAATAAGCACCAGAAGGTATTGCTTTTTGACTGAGATTTGGAAACGTTTGGCATTCAAATAACCCATTAAGGAAAATACTCCTAACATGGACAGGCTTAGGATCATCATAAAAGGCTGTCATGGGAAATGTTTGCGGACAGAGGATGTGCCTACCTTTTTCTCTATTTGGTGGGCTCTGTATGCGGGTTTGTCTATTTTCTAAAGTCAATGAGTACTGGATATTATCTGCTGCTTTGGGGCATCCTTGCTACTTGTCTCCTATTAACTCAAATATCTGAAACTTGAAATCACTGGCAATCATATTTCCATTTTGTACAGAAAACACACATAAAAATCTCAGAATATAATCATCATTATTAGCTCATTATATATAATTTTAACTCTAATTTTCTTCTAATTATTCATAAATTGTTAGCATTTTATGTAAATAACAATTACTATTATAATAACAATTCAAATACTATAGAAAAAACAAAATAAAGAAAAAAGATAGTCACATTAAAAATCAGAGATTACTAGATTTGTTTTCTTTATCACTGAGACTTAAAAAAAACCCCACAAAATAAAAAGCAACTAAGTTTGGGGTCATAAATTTGGTGTCACTGAATCTAAGTTTTTACTGTTTCTGACACAAATATTACTTCATTTGTGATGTCAATTACAAAAGTTAAATTAAATATTTACATTTAAAAATACCTGAACTTCTTTCTAAACTGGTTGATTACTGTTTAATTTAAAGTGGGCTGTATTAAAAATAGGGTAATATCAAATTAGCAATTTACTTTTAAAAAATATAAATCTTTTGGTTATTTGTTTGTAAACCCATAATGCTTTGTATGTAGCTAGCTGGGTGGATCAAATTATCTTTTGTGCGTTTCACATAATAATACATGCCGTAACTTTAATATAGAAATTGCCAATACAGAGCACAAGAACCTTCTTGTTTTTCTTCTTAATCGTTAAGACTGTCTAGAGGGCCCTCGACTGGAGTAGAAGCTTGGAGGTCATCGATGACCATGAGTCTTGGAGCGGAGCAGAAGAGAGTGGAGAAGCCACTCTGCCTGGCCCTGCTGGGGGAAGCCTGGCACCCTAACTCCCTAAAGAGATCTCTCTCCTCTGGGATTTGAAGCTCCTTAGAGCTGCTTTCCAGAGCTCCTCTGATAACCAACCAGGGCTAATCTGCCTGTTTCTAAGAAGTTTTTCTTTATATCTAGTCCAGCTCCATCTGCAATGTCTCCTGTTCATGGCAGCAATGGAGCTCTGCAGGACTACACGATTCTGCAGATGATGGGCAGCAGACACTAAGCAGCCTTTAGTCTCCTGCACTCTAAATAACCAAACTGCTTTGCTCTTCTGCAAGAGGATATGTTTCTATCCATTAATCATGCTAAAAAAATATCCTTTCTTGGTCTTTTCCAGTGTTTCTGTACTAACACAGAAAAGGCATTAACATCCAAGGAAAGTTCAGTATATTCAATATATCATCTCCTTAAATTATTAATGTCCTTGGGCTTCATCAAATGTCATTCTCTAAGATTCAGGATTTAATAGAAGTAAACAGAGTTATTTTACTAGTCTAAAGCCTAGACTTACAATGTCCCCTTGTTTATCAGCACACCTTTAACTTCTCTAAGCTACTATCAAGCCTTTCATTCAAAGTGGCTGCCACCTACCATTTTCTTAAGTAACAGCATGGGAAGAGAGGCTTGCCTTTGTTTTGTTTTGTTTTTGGTGGCTGTTCATTTTGAGTTTTTATGACTTAGTCCAATATCTGACATCTTTAAAGCCAGCACATTATTTCCAAAAGAGATGGTAGAAACAGGGTAAGCCAAACTTGACCAAATACAATAAAATTTATGACAGCATAACTGATAAGTAGTATTCTTAATAAAGCAAAGATTATTATATTTAAATCAATCTGAATGTGAAATTTGTCTCTTGAAACTCAGTAATTTGGATGGAACTAGCATTTAATGGTATAGGAATACTTCGGTATTTGTACTTTTCATTTATTCTGCATAAAAGGCCCTTTCAAAGTAAACTGAAATGGATATATATAGGTATACACCTCTTCTCTTTTCAGCTGGGATTGGAACTGTCATAAACATGGTGATGGTGAGATCTTGGTCACTTTTCATAAACAGCTTTCAAAGGAGGTTTAGAAAATTATCAATAATGAGTGCAATTCGATTCGTATTTTTAATGCAAGGACTTAAGCACTGCATACAGAACACCGTTTAAAGGATTTTTCTCCCACAAAAGCCTATGTTTTAATTTTCTATTCTGTCTCAGCTTCTCGGACAAATATCTTACAACAAAGCGGTCTTCATAAGAAAGGAAATTAATCAATACAATGCTAAAAAGATGCAGTTTTCAAAAACTACCTCTTTTTAAAGAGAGATTAAGCAACATGATGTCTAATAGTAGACAGTCCAGTTAGCACTATAGCAATCTGTGGGTCCCACACAGTGGGAGCCCTGCAGTAACACCAGCTGAATACTCATGTTCTCTGGCTGCACATTTAAAGAGAGTTTTACCATATAAAAGACTCATACTTAAAAAGAAATTTTTGGTCACTACTTTCCCCATAAAAAATCAGTTAAACTGATTATAAATCAGTTAAAATAATGTCATAAACAAAAATATAAATCACTCATTATACCAATAAAAGCCTGATATAGTATTTCAGAGTAAAACTTTCCTGAAATACTATCAACTTCAGATCTCCATTTAGTCAAACATCAGATAATCACAAGAGGGCCTCGTCTTGCAATTGATAAATATAGATGAGTTTTCAAGGCATTTCTCAATGGAGAAGGAGAAAGTATATTCAGAAAAAGTGTCCTTTCGTGAAGATAGTACCTCAATTTCTCCTGGCTATAAAATCTAGGTTGATGGTCAGAATTAGCTGATTTGCACTGTTGTGACTGTGGCTTCCTGGTCACTCTAAGGTCTATCTGATGCCATTACTCACTCTTTGGCCACTCATTTTACTGTGCAGCTTTCCTGTGGAGTACTGAGCATCTCAGTTCAGGTTATACATAAACAAGAGGAGATATGTGCTACTCAGAAGCATGCCAAATCCTTGTCCCAGTTCTACACCCTGTGGAGAAGTGAAGCTCGTGAACAGAACGCATGTCCAGCTAAAAGCCTGTCTACTGACCTCTTCAGGGACTAGTGGTTCGATCATGGGTGCCTCCTCCTGCCTGGCAGCCAGCCGCACTGGGGAGGTGGAAAGCCTCTTTTCCCATTCATTCGTGATGGCGGTGTCTGTTGAAGTTTCTAAGAAGGTTCTCTTCAGCTCACTAATGTTGGTTTGATGTTTCATGAGGTCATCTTGAGTTTTTTCTAGCTCCTATATCCAGAACATAGAAAATCCAACAGTCAATGTTTTTACATTTGTATTCCTTTCAGCTCACTTTTTTTTTTTTTTAACATAATGTCAATCTTATTAGTAGTCAAAATAAAACAGAATTTTGATCAGGGCTGATAGCATTACCACAAACACTCCGGTGAAAATGTGATTTTCCATGGAAAAGGAAGGGTGAAAAAAATCTAGTTCATACAAGCATAAATACCAAAAGAATTTTAGAAAGTAAACTGTAAAGAGTGTAATTCACATGTAACCAGAGAGAATTAAAATAAATACACACACAGGAAAAGGGATCTATATCTAAGAAAGAATAAAAAATCAGAATAAGCTGAGAAGCCATCCCAGTTATTGACAGGTGAGCACACACTGCATGCATCATGGTATGAGCCCACACGGATTCCACTAAAAGAAAACAACACACACAAACATGCACTGGTATGTACCAATACCAACCTCTAACATAAGATTACTATGTTTGACATATACATTTTCACCCTTTATTCGCTTAATCAGACTATTCTGAAAAAAGTGGAGAAGAAAGGGAAAAGTAAGGGACATAGTAGTCAAGGGAACAAATGCCAACCTAAACACTGCACCAGTAACACAGTAACCAGCTACGGAGCATGCTGAAAGACTGAACACTGTAGACAAACAATGACTTATCACACGCTGGTTTTGCTTTTGTTTTGTTTTTTGATTTTCTACCTGTGCCTTGAGCTCTGCATCTTCCTCCTGGTCCGACTGTCAGCATCAAGAGAGAGTGGGAAATAAAGTCTTACCATGCAATTTACTCTGAGATTGAAGAACTAAGGTCTATGTAAACGTGCTACATGTGGGCACCAGTGTGCTGCTGTATATGGATGCCATCTCCTTCTTGTACACAAACCACAACATTCTCACACACAAATTATAAAGCTTAACAAGAAACAGGAACACAGGAGGGAAAGAATCCTTGCCCAGTGGGTCTTTGGCATTTTGATGAGCAGTTCCATGTGGTTGGGAAGGTGAGAGCAAGGGCTTGGAAGGCTGTCCATAACGAACATTAGCTACGGCTCAGAAAGTGTGAGGAGCCAGATTAAAATTAAAATCCATAAAAATGGCTCTGATGATGACAGCTCCCTTGCAGCGTATGAATCGTAACCTATAGGTTAGCTATTATGATCCTAGTTTCTAGAAGAGAGAAGCTAGGCTCAAAGAATTTAACACGGAGGTTCCCGCATTTTAAAATTTCTTGGAACCTTGATTTTCTTGAACCTATATACTTAGAAATTTGGGAAGGGAGAAGATTGATATGGGGTAATTAAGGATGTTCAAAAAAAAAAAAGAAGAAGAAAAAAGAAATTAACTACTATCAACACCATTGTCATTTCTTTAAAATGTAGATGGAGCTGTCTAACCCTTGGGACTGGGATCTGAGTAACTAGTAGGTAGGTCAATGCACATGCGCACGCTGTGGCTCTTGGACTCGGGCCTGGGATTTAAGCGCCTGTGCTACAAGAGGAGACCCAGAGCGAAACTGTAGGTGAGAAAAGGGTCACCTCAGGCAAATGGCCTTAAGCGATTCATTTAGTCTACTTGCTGGTGCCTCGCTTTTCTTATCTGCCAGCCGGGACAAGGCTGTCTGCTGTGCACGCCCTGCACTGTGCCACTGCTGTGCTGCTGCCTGACGAGAAGGAGAGTGTTTAAAGAGGGTCACAGGGCACACAGGGCACAGTAACACAGTGCTGGTGACACGCTAATTCTTCAGTGCACGGTAGGGTCACGGCTCTCCGATTTATTTTTAAGCTTCACCATCTACCCGTGGTACATGGATTCCCTTACATGCTTAAATGGTTATGTAACACATTTTAAGACTACTATAGAAATTTAAAGTATTATTATTAAATTTTTTTCATTTATAGCAAATATTGGGATTCCAATGAAATTTATCGAATGCATTACCCTGTGGCTCCATGTAACTTACAAAATATCAAGGTGTCGTTTTGTTATATTTGGCATCGAAAATTATTTTATGATACATTTATATATGACTGCTTTAAAGAATCTGGACAATTGTTTTGCAATATTATCTTAAAAGAGTTATGATTTTCAAGCTTTAAATTGAACTCTAGCATTTGTAAAGAAAGAAACTTAATAAAATGCCATCACGAAACCTTTTCTTCTTAAGATATTTTCAATTAAGTGATGTACAGATACCATTTACGACATTTTTTGTTCTAAATAGCCAACTAGAAAGTATTATGATTGGAAAATGTAGAAAAGAATATATAACCTAAAGGAAATGTTATTACATAGTAAAAACTAAATTCTGCTAGTACTTCAGGATATACACATCTTGATATTCATGATATAGGTAAATATTGTTTTTTTTTTTTTTTTTTTTGAGACAGAGTCTCACTTTTGTTGCCCAGGCTAGAGTGAGTGCCGTGGCGTCAGCCTAGCTCACAGCAACCTCAAACTCCTGGGCTCAAGTGATCCTCCTGCCTCAGCCTCCCGAGTAGCTGGGACTACAGGCATGCACCACCATGCCCGGCTAATTTTTTGTATATATACTTTTAGTTGGTCAATTAATTTCTTTCTATTTTTAGTAGAGACGGGGTCTCACTCAGGCTGGTTTCGAACTCCCGACCTTGAGCAATCCGCCCGCCTCGGCCTCCCAGAGTGCTAGGATTACAGGCGTGAGCCACCGCGCCCGGCCGGTAAATATTGTTTTTATAGAAATTTTAATTAGTTACCGATAGAGCAGATTTGAAAAACTACACAAGACTCACACACACACACACACACACATGCATATTCACAGAGACATACGCATGTTTAATGTACCCTAAAGAATTAATAAAGGAGAAATAATAGTATCCCTCCTATTACTGTTCAATGTGTTACATATTTTTAAATCAGTGCTAATTTTCTTTTCCTTAGAGAATTCATTTCTTATGAGTGACCCAGGCTACTATAGCCAAAGGATACAAAAATGAGTTAAGAGAAGTATTATTTTAATAACAATTATTTCACCCTTTGGGATTTAAAAATATATCCAACTGATAAGCTAATTAAATTAACTGTGACCCTTCTTCCCCTTCAACATGGCTATCATTCATACATAGCTTCTCACTTGGGATAGGAGAACTTATTTTAATAAACATGTTATCAGTTTAGGCAAGTGCTTCTCAAAATGTGATCCTAAGATTAACGGAGTTATCGTCTGGAAGCTTGTTGGAAATATAAATACTCAAGTTCCACTTGGGCCCTTCTAAATGAGAAACACGAGGCTGGGCCCCTCCAGGCGGTGCTGATGCAGGCCAGAGTTTGAGAACCACTTATCCACAGGCAGCGAAATACACTTGTTTAGGCAGCAAAATATACACTTCACTCCTACTATCACAGTCAGAACCGATCTCCTCTCCAAAAGCTGGTGGGCAGAGTTCTTGAATGCCGAGCCCCGCCCCCCCCAGAAGGCATTTTGGTTAGGCAGCCACCAGCCACCCTCAGTCGCGACACCCACCTCGGTGGCAGTGGTCTCCCCATCGGCCGCGGTGTCTGTGCGCTCACTGTCGGTCTGTGGACCACAGAAGTGATCGGGTTCCAAGAGCAAGGCAGGGATAGAAAATAAACCATCTGGTCAAACAGGGTCCAGCACAGGTCAGACAGTTCATTTTCCTCCTCTGAGATCTGTATCATGCTACCATCCCACGAGAATGCGGGTTCAAGCAAAAGCAAAAAGAAGGGCCAGAGCTGGGTGTCGTCAGCAGAGCCCGCTCAGAGGAAGACCCGAGCGCCCAGCCTGCAGGAGCTGCAGGAGCCGCACTGCCCTGCCTGGTTCTATGGCTCCAGAAAACCAATTTGCCAGCCCCACCCGTCACCTTTTAACTAAAACCCTGAACAAGATCTCCTAAAAATGTTTAGTGCAAATAAAATTAATGTTTATATATTTTATTCCAGTAATAGGGCACATTAGAAAGGTAAACGAAAATGTAAATTTATATTAAAAGCTACTGTAACAGTCACTGGACTTTCAGCCCCTCATTTATACCATTTTGATAATGTATATCCATTTATGGCCATCAGGCTGTCTGCATTACCTATTAATTACAAAAGGCACATGCCAGTGACTCATGGACATATATTTTATATAAGAAAAATGTCACTCAATTTTCAAGTAGCATTGCTAACTAGGTATTTTTAAGACTGTATGTTGTGTTTATTTTGCCCCATGCTCCAATATAAAGAGGTATATAAAAGTATGTATTTAAATATCTTTTTCCAAAATACCATTCAAATGAAGCAAATAATAATTTTAAAAAATAGAGAGAGACATCTACTTGTAAACAAATAAAACAAAGCACAGCATTTGACAGAGCCTACAGGTTTTTAAGGGAGAATGAGAATAATCATTTGAGGACTGGTTTTTAATCTGTTTCATAGGGGTTTATGATTTAAAACAAAAACTATTTTTTTCTTGAGTAAAAAAAATAGATGCCATGGGCATCTAGATGCTCTGATATAATAATATTAACTGACTTCCCCTCCACAAATACCAACTAATTATTAATAAAATTACCTTGATCAAAGATTTGTGATTAATATTTTGGAAACAAAAATCAAAACTGGTGGTCTAAGATTATGAATCTGCTTCTTAAAATAATCTCTTACTCTAAAGAATAAGAAACGTCAAGAAGGGACAACTGGGACAGTGTGTTTCTACTGACATAACTGTGGCCATGCTGATTTCTTAGCCCTCATATATTCCCGCAAGAAAAGGAATCGCGATGCACACTCGGCACCTGTTCCCAAGGACACCATTCTGGCAACCTTGCTACCAAGTCTAACACAATTTTCAGTAGGTTGGTAAAGAAAGCATGCTGACGCATTTTCATGACCTGACCAGTTCAGTTACCAACTGGGAGCGGAGTGGTTATTAGTTTTCCTGTAAGAGTGATCATTGCTATGGTATTAGCATGGCTTCACCAACTGACAGCTAGGAAAGGCCAGTTTGAATTAGTAAGAGAGACTGGCTCTTTGTTCAAATGTATAGAATAACTCCAAGATCTTAGGCTTCCATGAATAAACAAGAATGACCTGTGCTTAGTGTCCTAATTAGTTACATCAAACACTTCTAAAGTTCTTGAAAATACTTCTCCTCCCTTATAATTTCTCTTATAGTTTTAAAATTTACTTAATGAACTTTCAAGCATCACACTATAGAAAACAGCTGTAGTTAAGAGTGAGAGGGTTTTGATGTCAGACTGACATGAGCTCAAATCATTGCTGTTCAAACCTGTGACACAGCGAGTACTTTTCCTATTTTAATCCCAGCTTTCTTCCTGTAAAATGGGGAAAATAACAGCCCTAACTGTATTGGGTAATGGATGCTATAATGCCTGAGACACACAGAGCTAAAAATGCCTATGATAATTGTAACTTATTAATATTAATGATATAATTAGGACTATTATTTTTTCCTAGCCATACACAAATAGCTTAGTCCATTTCTAAACTCTCTCAAATTTCTACTTAGCATTTAGTCAGTCAACAGCATAGTGTCTGATCAATAGCCAATAGATGAAATAATAAAGGCTGAATAAAGCAGCTTTCATAGCAACTGCTATTTATACAATGTACTATGACTACATAAACTGCAAATGTACAGCACATGATAAACTATCATATAATACTATGTTTACATAATTTTAAATGTTGTAAATCAGTGGACCAATTAGTTTTTCTTCCATATTTAAATCCATCTCCCCTTCTCTTTGTGTCATTAAAAAATTACTCAGAAGTTCACACATAATCACGTGTTATGGTATGGGGAGCTACATTCGTCTTATGTTTCTTGATAGATGATTTGATATTCTGCCCCTTCTTATCTGACCATTCTGAAAGTACAAAAGGGAAAAAACAACTGGCCAACAGCTTTATCATTTTGAAATGACTAAGCCTTTTTATATTGGGTTTCACTCTTGAGAAAGGCTAGAATTAATTAAGACCCACTGTAGTATGTAAACAGTGATGATACAATGTTTAAAAAGAATTACAGTCATTTGTGATTTTGCAAAATCAAAGTGACAGAGCTGAATTGTATACTAAGAAGTCACCCAATACAGCTGCCAATGCGCTTGAGGCCTAAAGAATTAAACAGGCCATGTAAGTAAATGGCATTTTTTTTTTTAAATGAATGACCTAAATATGAGTTCTCTAGCTCAGCCTGAATTGGAACGCACAGCTCTTAACACTTAGGGTTAAGAGGCAACATTGCACAGATGGCCAGATACAAAGTCTAGTGACAGGAGAGCAGTAATAGGCTAACTAAGGCTGCAGAGGAGGGTGAAGAAGACTGCAGTGGTGACAGCTAACTCATGGATTCAGAGGTCTGCAGTAACGAGGACAGTCATGACTGGGAAGCTCTGATCACATGTTCACTAGCTTGTAACAGTTAACTGCTGTGATTTGTTTTGCCGATGTAATGCAGACATGCCCGTTTAACATTAATTCTCATGCACTGATTACAACAAAATGTATACCCTGGATTAGGCACAAGATCTGTGTGGTTTGCTATATAAAAGTTCAAATAGTTATTGAGAATTTAGAAAAGCATAAAACAGCAATCTTTTTTGCTTTATGTTAGCTTGATGACTAACGCTACTGCTAAAGGGAAAATACATCTCCATGTTAGAAATCAGCTAATATAATAAACAGTCATTGCACATAATAATGTGTTCTTAACTGTAGTATGTTCTAGCCCTACACTGTTTGATAATATTGGCACTGTGAGAAATACAGATTTAAAAACTCAGGATTTATAGTTCTTAAAATATTTTCCATGTATAAAAATAGTTATTTACAGATATATATATATATATATATGTATGTATATTGGCTGGAGCTAATCATCATATCTGAGAACCTGGAAAAGAACTCTTAGGCAGTATCAATTGAAAAGCCTAGACTTTTAAAACACCTGTGAGATCATATTTTTCCTTCTGCTGCAAAGAAATGGTCATAATACCACTAAATACAGGTACTTACACTCTTGCAATTCTATACACTCACAGGTGCAGCTCAAATTATGACTTTCTAGCTGAGCACAAAACTGAATAGACTTTCTTTCCCTTTTTAGCGTTGCCTTGACTCTGAATTTTTTTTTTTTAAATGCTAGGAGTATCTGGCTTGTCTCCTGTGACAACAGCCCGAGTTCCGAGTTCCGTGGGCACAGGAGAGCGGGAGGGAGCCTGGGAGAGCTGTGCGCAGGAGTGTGCATGACAGCGGTGCCTCTGTCGGCGGCTTCCTTTCTTTCTCCCTGTGCTCTACTTGAGGCCCGGAGAAAGGGAAACTGCTGGGCTGTCCACAGGGCTGTGGGGTGGTGGGGAAGGAGAGCAACTGAGAGGAAAAACTACCACTCCCATGTCAGCTCACACAATTGCTCAGGAGAGAGACAGGGGCCCTACCGGAGGCAGCGGGCCTTCAAGGACAGAGGCTGATGGCCTGGGATCTTTCTGCTACTATATCATGCCTGGCTGACAGCCACGGAGGCCTAGCCAACTTTCCCGACCTTCCCCACACTGTGAAAACAGGGAGATTTTTTCTCCTGCCAGCACTGGAGTAATCACTGCATCTGATGTCTGCACTGGCGTTGCTAGCACTGCAGAGACTGCAGCCCATTTCTGTGACGTGGAGAAAGCTCAACTGAGTCTTTTCCTGATGGTTTTGAACACTGCTGCACGGTGTGCAGCTCCTTTTGGCCCTACTGATGACGATGCCACGTGGGTGTTTTAAACTGCTCTGCAAGTTCTTCCTGTCCCAGCACATCGTGGGGTCTGACCGATCGACCTCTGCGAGGAACAATGACCGTCTGGCAACATCAGGCAGAGGGTGGTGGGGGCGTCTCAGAACCTCCAGCGGGGAGATGCATTTGCAATTTTGGAAAGCTACTGAGATGACGAGGATGCTTCACCTGTGCTGGGGCTCTCTCCCCCTCGGCCCCTTCAATGTCATTTAAGCTGAAAAACTACTGATCTGCCTTACGTGTGACTGACTTTATTAAATGACAACCGATCAGAACCTTTAACTTAGCACTGATCTTTTGCATAGCTAATGGGTTTTTTAAAATTGACTCTGGCTGAGTCCTCTACCCCACATAGAACTCAGTGGGTAGCAGAACGATTCCAGATTGGGCTCAGACTGCTACGTCCACATGGTGTTGTGCCTAACCCTGGGGCCCGGGTTGGACTCCCCAACACACAAAAACCTCAACATATTGGCACAGACAATAAATGAGGCTCTGAAAGTAGGACCACTCTTGCAGCAGCCGGCTAACACTGTTTCGGACTGAAGCACGGAACACGAAGGGGAAGCGTGTTCTATGCCGAGGTACACACCTCTTCCTCTGAACTGTCACTCGGGTCATTGTCTAGGGAGGCGCTCAAGGAGGCTGCCTTGGGCTCCAGGTAGCAGAGGCACAGAGCCAGAGGGAAGGAGAGAGTGAGAGCGTATGGCACTGAGAAGGAGGCAGACAGCAGAAAGAAAAAGATGAAGAGGAAACAGGGCACGAGCGAGGGTGAGCGGATTGGGAGGTAATGCTGCAAGCTCTGGGGCAGGAGGTTGGTTTCGGAAAGGTTGGGGAAAGAGAGGTACCCGTCATCATCTAGGAGGGAGGGGAAGGACTCAGGGAGCTGCAAGGAGAAGGAGAACAGGGTGGTCCCTTTGCCAGTTTGCTGTCTGTAGCTAAAAGCCACATCTTGGTCCCCTAGGTAAGGCTTCCCTTGGCCGTCAGAGTCCAGGGAGGGCTCTCCGTGCACGTGCTCAGCCTTGGATGGCTCACAACCGGCTGGTTTGCACTCATTCTCCTTGCACCTCCTACGCAGCTCTGTGGGAGAGGCAGGGGCACAATGGGCTGATGGGGGTGACAAGGGACATGAGTCAGTGCCAAGCCCAGGTGACTAATGTGAAAGAGACAGAAAGAAACAGAGAGCAGCAACAGAGGTGCAAAAGGACAAAAAGAAAACTGCAATTAGTTAATTTTCTTATGGGTATCAATATAAAATTGTAAAACAAGAATTTTAGCACTAGGGTTGCTCATGAATTTTAAAGTATCCAAGCTGCATGCCAATGTTGCCACGAATGGCTACAGTTCTCCCATTAGACCATCAAATACAAGGCGGGTTTTTTGTTTTTTTTTTTTAAGTCAGAACAGAAGATATGTATGGGCAATCCCAAAGTCTACATTATTTCACATGATCAAAAAATTTCATCTTAGACCAACAACTATAGAAAGTTTTAGGGTTTTGAGACCAAACATAAATCTCTGATAACTTAAAATCAAGACTTTCAATAACCTTCTTCCAATCTCCAGGTAACAGAGCTGTTACTATAGTTCAGCTGGATTAAAAATGAAATTCAGTACAAATTTTGATTATTAAAAGAAAAATCTTTAGCATTACTCCTTTCTTTGGTTAGTTAATTACAACCAAAACAGGTAAGTTTCTGGCCCCACTCCTGTCTGACAAGCAGTTATAATCAGATGATTCAACAGTGAACATTTCAGGAGCTCTACTTCCCCACAAAGAATTGGGGCTCCCTTGAAAACTCTTCTATTTTGGCTCCTTTATCTAGGATGTCAGTGGAACTTCAACTCAGGTAGTGGTATCAACAAGCTGACTAGCAAAAAAAATGTGTTTTCTTGTAACATAGTTTTGTGTTTACTTTCTGTTATTTATATCCATACATAATAGAAAGATACAATTTCCTAGCCTTCTGATTTTTCATTAGCAGATAAAAGACATGTTCATACCTTTGATTTAAGCCCTAAATATAATGATAAAAGCAAGTGTTCCTATAAAAGCGCTCCCATGGTGAGCTCAGGGTTTTGTGGGGCAAGTCTAGTTTCCATCCTCTCTGGGCCCTGGAGGTCTGTCTCCATGACCGAGCCCGGTGTCCTCTGCAGGCAGCAGAGGGGCCACTGGACAAGGGGAAGGAAAGGCAGCAGCCCCAGGGAGGACCTGGGCAGGCACAGGAGCTGTTGTAGCCTGTGAGTTCAAGGCAAGGTCACATGGAGGCGGAAGCTAATTAGACTTCTGCCGCTGTGTGTGTGTGTGCGTGTGCGTGTGAGTGTGTGTGTTTTGCCTAGCGACCTGACAGCACAGAAACTACCCAACCTGCTTTGTGCTGGCTATCCAATCCTGACTTGGAGAGAAGTGGTAAATACAGCAACAGAGGGAAAGAAAATGCACATATAAAATAATATGTGAGGCATGAAGGAAAGAAAATGCACCAATAAAATTATATACTGGGTAAATCACAGCATTAGAGGTCTCTCTTTTTACTATGAGACAAGTATGTCTTTTCTCACACACTCGCACTAAACATTGCATTTTAAACAGGAACCTGCAAAAATCTCACTCAGCTGAGAATAATGTAGAAGTTACGAGCTGCCTTTTGCATGAAGACAACGGTCCTGCGGCAGCGAGGTTTTCACCCGGAAAACACACCTCCTCTCAGGCAAGCCAGGGGACCAGTCTTTTAAGAACTATTTTCAGTAATACATTTTCATGTCGGTTAAAAAATAAGCACCTTCTATGATACTTTTTGAAGATGGAGAAGAATAACAGGAAGGTTTAACTTTCTGTGCTGCCTATTAAAGTGGTTTTTAAAAGACAGCTTTGCACTGGGAACTAGAGCCAGCTGTCACCCAGGCTCTCCCACTGGATCTCAGCTGCAGCCTTCCTCAAGGCACCCACTCAAGCGCTGCATTCTCAGGGACTCAGACTCAGAAAGGGGGAGCTTTCTTTTGTCTCTTTATTTTCCCCTGGCATAAGCAGCACAGAATGAGGATAGCTTAGTGCTGCATTTTACATAAACAAATTGGTGGTCTTTTAAAATCAAATAAACTGAGAATGCCCAGATCTATTACGGGTGCAAATTAACAATCATTTACTTTTATGCCACTTCACTATATTTATACATCCATGGGTGTCTTATGTTGGCCTGGGTGATTTCAAAAAATGTTGAAATAACTAAGTAGAAGAACCATTTATTTACTTTTAGGGCATATTATCTTCTTTTTCTGTCCCCTTTAAAACTTGCCTTGAAGACTGAAGAGTGTAAAAACAAAATTCATAGCAAAGCACATTTTAATAGCAAAAGTGATCCAAATATCCCACCCTGTGCTTATTTTTGTGTTTATCAAATAAATGATTTTATCCTTAAAAAAAGAAAAAAATACGATGGACTGGGTCATTTGGAATATTGTAACATAACTACAAAAATTATTTGTTTATCCGCCCATTAAGATGTTGCTGCTAAATTCTTGTCAAAAGGAACACTGAATGTCCATAGAGCCTGAAGTGGTGATTTCTTATCACATAGATCTATATTTCAAGAGCCAGCATGCAAACGAGCACTTGTTAATAAAATAACCTGTGGGTTACACGAACATTTTCACTCTGCCTTTTCCTCTAACTCTGTGCATTCCAGGAGCCACTTGTTTTTCCATTATTATTAGGTCTAAACCTCCCAATGTGTCTTTTAACTTTTATTTTTCTGAAAAGTTGCTTTTGAGTGCTGGATCATAGAAAATAAACATTTAAAAAAATTTAATTTTGAGTGAAATGATGTCACAAAATTTAATGAATATAAAATACCAAAAGAAACTGTTGCCAAATTTTCTTTTTCTCTTCTGTTGCAATCTTTTGTCTTAATATCCCTTTTCAAAACATGGCTATTCACTATTTTGCAGATTAGATTATAAGACTAAGTAGGAAACAATGTGTGAACACACAGGCTATGGTCACTCAAGGCACCTGTAGTCTGAAGAACAGCAATGTGATTACTGTATATCTAGAAAAATATGCCAAGTATGGGTAGGAGAATGGGGCCAGAAACAACGAAAACAGCTTTCATGACAGTTCAGAAATACGAGCCCAAACAGAAATGTGTGATATGCCACCAAAAGTCTTTTTAAGATACACATACTTTCATACAGCTGTTGAAAGTCTTAAATAGCATACAAGTTGTTAAAAATTTTCAAAGGGTCACAAAGGAATCTTTCAGAGGAAAACTGATGAAATAGGGATAAGAATTTAAAACTGGCATATGAAAGTGACCCATACTAATTAATATATGAACTACCCTGAGTCTGAACACATCCCTAGTATTACGCAGTCATTCTTAAAAGCCGGAACAAGCTCTGGAAGGCAGCCTGGGAGCTATACCTTTCCCTCGTGCCGGATGGCCGAGACAGGCGTGACTTCCTCTGCCTTCTTCCGTCTGTCCTCTTCCTCATCCCGTTCCTCCTCAGCCTTTTTCTCTGGAGTCACAGTGGTGATCAAGTTGGTCTGAGAGATGCCCTTTGTTGTGGCGTACTGGCCAGTACCAACCTCTGCAGCAGACATAGAATCCTTCATGTACATTTCATGGTTTTCATTCACTGATGCTAAAAGCAAATACAATCGAAGAAATAACATCTGAAATAGTGAAGTCAGAAGACAGCTGAAAAACCAATTGTCCTGTTACGGGGGGGGGGGGGGGGGGGGGGGGGGGGGAGGGATGGTACCACCACAAAATACCAGGTTTGTCTTGAAAAGTGAAATGAGCACTGCAGGCAACTATATCTAGGCACCACCCTAGATCCATCTGCATTACCCATCCCAGTGTTTTAACATTATTTAAATATGCTTATGTCTTGAAATCCCAGAATAATTCTCATCCATTCTCAGACTCTCTGGGGACAATGTGTATGAGAAGGAGGTGAGGCTGTTACCCCAAGTCACTGGTGGGGCTCAAGCACCAGCCAGTTTCACAATTAATAGCAGTATCTGCAGTAGACAATTGCTCTCATACGCTTGACTTTGAACATATCTTTGGAAGTGCCATTCAGCAAGAAGCAGCGAATTGGTTTTATTATCATTAATGTTGAAAAGTCTATCATTCCTACAATATAAGAGCTCCATGGATAATCATGAAAATTAACCATCTTGTCAGAGATTATAAAATTCAGATGGCAATTCCGTTCAACTAAAGAAATGTTTTAATTTCTATTGCCTTTTAAAGAGAGTACTATAATATAATATACATTTATTTATCTCTAATATTTTGGGTAAAACGAGACAAATGTTGTCAAATGAAATTCATGCAAATGCAAAACATGCAAACATAAGAGATAAAAGATACAGCTTTTCATCCCAGCTAAAATGTCTTAGTGAAAAAATGCTTAATTTAGTTAAATTTTAAGATTTGGTACTCATTATTTTAGGTGTTTCAGATCATGAAATTTATTAAAACTTATACATAGTGCTTTTCAAATGTATAGTAGCTAATCAGATAAAATATAATCTGCATTTATATTTCAAGAACTTTAAAAACATAATAAAAGAAAGGATTCTAACATGAAATCCTCTCTGAAATCCTTTTAATAGCTAAACCATGTCACTAAAGTATCTTCACTAAGATATTTTATATCTCTTTATAGTGATGAAAAAGCTCATATGAGACACAGCTTCCCAATGGACCAGTTAGGCTATTCTCTGTAAGATGCAACCTTGTAAAAAAGCATTTTATCTTCCAACATGCAGCCGTGACACCCAGCTCAGCAGCAGCAGCAAACATACTGGGGCTGGCAGCACAGCAAAGAGTGAGAGACAACACATACTAACATCACTTTTGGGCAGGGAGGAAGAGACAGCATGGTATTAGTACATTGATTGCACAATTGTCTTCTGTCTTCTCAGCAGTCATTATCACACAAAAGGTCATGAAGAAAACAACATTGACAAGAAATGTGTTCCCTGGGGCGCCCGTTACTGAACAAAGGGGATGGTATTCAGGAAAAAAAGATGTGGACTTTCTACAAAAGTTCCTCAAATACTGACTTATAGAACATACACATAGTTAACAGAGATTTTCTAAAAAGGGAAAGCGTCAATGAGACAAAGTAGAAAGAAAAGCTTCAAGGTTAACATGGATATATCACTCAACTCAAAATAGTATTGATAAATATTCTATTCTATGATGTTGGCTCTAAGTTTGATATTCCAGAAACTCTGAGAAGATACAGAAATGGTAATTAACTTCCTAGGCCAGCTCACAAAAGCCTATAAGAATAATTATCAATATAATCATTGAGATAATTATGTCTATAACAAGAGTACTTTCACATGTATCTGACTCACACTTCACAACAACCCTGTTGAAGGTTGCCTTACTCCCATTTTACAGATAACTAAAACTGAGGCCTGGAGAGATGAAATCATTTGCTGAGACTCTTTGAGGAGCAGTGGTAAAAAAAGGTGGGAAGGGAGATGGTCCCAGGCACTTGTAACTTTTATTTATGCTTTCGCTTATTATTAAAATCTTTACACGCATACTAGAAACTTTGAACTTGTTTTATTTGCACAGGATAAGGTCTTGCAGAAAAACAACTACTCTCCACATGTTCTGGATTAGAAGGCAGCGCCCTGGCCACGATTCAGTTCCTAAGTTAAATGTTACTACAGCTGGCATGCCTCGTAGCAAAAAGCACACCTGCACATTACTCTGGACAGCAACACAAAACTGTTAGACAAGACAAAAACCTACTAAAACTCATTGTTATCCCTTAAAAAGATAACTTGAGTGATTATCTCCTTGTTTTACTTATTTGACTTGGCAGCACAGAACCCTTACCCAGCAATGTTCTCCCAGTCTACCTGGTATAGTAATTAGTATTCAGTAGGAGACTTTAACTTAGAGCCCTTTGCTCTGTTACTTGAATGCATCCTTCTACCAGCTGTTATCAGCTGGCTGATAAAGTCCACATTTTGTTCATAAAATTTTTTTAGCAGAGATAAATTTAACTTACAGTTTTATGAAACAAATAGTCTGAGACAAACCTGCTAATTCTCTAAGATCTGCTGGCACAAGATTCAAATTACTTACAGAGTATGTGGCTACTACAGTTAGAATAAGAGCATCTTTCTCTAAATTCAGGGTGTGGCTTATGGAAGTTACTTTCCTCATTCCCTAAGTTCAATTCTTTTACGTAATTTTATACAAATCTACAGACATCAGACTGACAAAGACACTTTTTGGAGACTTAAAAGTCTGCCATTCAGCCACAGACCAACAACTGCTTTCCAATTTACAATATCCAAGAGGACCTATGTTTTGAAAGCTCCTGATGGTTTCATACTCTTTCTCAGGTAGCTGTTAAGGGCCAGTACGTGATGCCTACCTCCATCCAAGCTGCGAGACATGGTGTAACGTTTGCTGGACGATCGTTCAAAGTAAGGCGCTGGGCGATCTATCAACGCGCTGGCTCTCCTTGTTTGGGCTTGCGTTCTGCCACTGTAGCGAAACTTGGAACCCAAGGTCAGGAATTTCTTTGGAGGTGCTTCTGGTAACAACAGTCTAAAGGGATTAAAGGCAAACACCAGAAAGAGACTAAGTCAAATATTAAGAATACTTTTTACTCTGCCATGAGAGGTAATGTGCTTTGTGTACTAAAGGTTTAACACGTGACTTGCAGTTAAATGAATCTGATTTTGTAAAAAAAAAAAAAAAAAAATCAATTTATACAGTATATGTCAACTAGGGATGTTGTAGAGAGGATACAGACAAAACAGGGGTTGTGTTCAACTATATGAACTTTTAACCTTCTGTGCAAGTGGAGGGTCTATGGGTCTAACAGCAATTAAATAGGTGATATAAGCAAAAAGAAGAGTGACAATTTGTTATTTTGTAGGCACAAAATTGATGGGCGTAAAAATATATGTGGGTGAAGTAGTCCAGGGTATTGAGAAATTACTGAAATAGTAAGGAATTGATTGGATATTTGAAATGGACATCTTATAAAAATGAAAAGATCTTAAAAATAATAAAGAAAGGGGGTGGGTAGGACAGATAAGCATATGATAAATTAAGGAAAATACTTCAAGTTTAGTTAGAAGTTCTTTTAGGGTTTTTCATCAAGAAATCTGGTGACAATGAACTTGAAGAAATAGAAAGCATATGCTTCCATATTCTTCTTCCCAACCTTTTTCAGTATAAGTTATTCCAATTATCCCAATTCTTCCTTAGGAAAAAAGACAAAATAACCTCTACCTACCTGAAAAATGTATGGTGCTCGACACATACTTTCCATAAACGCTTGGCAGCTCGATGGTTTGGCAGCTTAAACCCAATGGTGCTTTCAAATTGTTCAAACTAAATTAAAAAAATACATTGAGAGTAAAGTTTGGAATTAAAAGTAACAGAACCCTGCAAATAATTTAGAAAATCATAATACCACCACACTTTTTTATACATGATATAAACTGCTAGATACACAATTCATGGTCTATACATTAATTCATTAAAAAACCTATTATCTGTCTCCTTCAAATGTTGCAGGTATAGATAACCATGTTATGCATGCAGTAAATGTTTTCAGCACAATATAGATCTCATGCAAACCAAACACAAAAAAAGAGAGTATCTGGATTCCTTCCAGCGATCAGTTTGTTCTGATCTCATTTTTAAGCTTTATTTTCATAGTTTCTCAATGACACAATGACTTCAACTGGAATGTATAGAAATGAACAAAATGGTTATAAACATAGTCTATAGTGTTCTTAGAAATGACATTTTCTCCTAGTATCTGGCTAGGAAATACACTTCCTAGGTATGTGAGGACCTGGTGTTAGATACTGCAGATTTTATTTGTATGTTCCACCATGGATTATAATGATAAATGCTAACATCTCTCTACATTAAATATAATATCAGAGATTGGGAGAACATATTTTCCTACCTGTATATTTCAGATGATATTCTATCAGCTATTTGATTTTTCAAAGTGAAATATCTCATCTGATTGCCTGCATAACATGCTGTAATATCATTATTGCAGGTTCACAATACATTTTTATTTTCTGAAGAAGGGAAGCATCAGGCCACCAGAGGGCAATCATCTTAAACAGTAAAGACTTTCCAAAAGAGAACAAAACAACCGGACTATTTATGTAACCTATAGCAAAAAGTAATTTATGTGGCAAAGTACCAAGGTGAGGGGTCATATGCACAGCGCGAGATACAGTCACGCTTGACCCCTATTTCTTGTTTGTTGAGATGACTGGGGTACCTGGGAATTCATGTGCAGTGCTGGTTGTAAAAAATCGCTATTGCTCGAGCGACCCAGTTAAGACAGAAGCATGGTGGCTCTTGACTACACCGTTGCCAATTTATTTATCCTGCATCTAACATGCACCATAAGGCCAAGGGTTCCAAAGAAGAGCCAGCTTGCTCTCTGCTGCAGGAAGCTGGGAAGAGTCCCTTACTACAAACTTTCTTAGGCAAGGATAATACCAGCCCTAGAGCTTTTGAATGTTTATCTCTCTGTGCTTTGTATCCATTTCTTTCAACCTCTTTAGAGCCTGTATGCTACCAATAATTTCTTCTTCCCCACTCTTCTCAGCCTATAAATATGACAATAGAAAAGGGAGGGTGGGAAACCAACTTTCTCTGAGCCTGCTTCTACTGGAAGCACACCTGTCTCTTCACTGCTAAGCTTCATGAAAAAGCAGTCACCACCTCGCCTGTGCAACTCACTCCTGACCTCACCACATGCCGGGGGCACCTTCCTGAACTCCGGCGTGTCATGATGGACCTGTCAAGTTCAATGCACTTTGTTAGTCTGCGTCCCACGTACCCTCTCTGTGACACGTAGCACCGCTGGTTAACAACCACTGTCCTCTGAAACTCACCTCTGGTCATTCGTCAGTCTCTGTTCCTCCTCCTCTTATTTCTCTGGCCGTTTTTCTTAATCTCCCTATGTTTCTCTCCTCCGTGCCCTTCTCTCAAATAGTGGTCTTACTCAGCGTTTGGGTTTGGGGGCCTCTTCTCTGACTTCCCTTGTATGTTTTTTTGTTTGTTTGTTTTGAGACAAGAGTTTTGCAGTGGTGTCATCACAGCTCAGTGTAACCTTAAAGTCCTGGCCTCAAGCGATTCTCCTGCCCCAGCCTCCCTGGTAGCTGGGACTACAGGCACATGCCACCATGCCTGGCTATTTTTTCCATTTTTTGTAGAGACGTGGTCTTGACCCCTTCTATTACTCAGTGGTCTCAAACTCCTCAGCTCAAGCAATCCTCGCACCTTGGCCTCCCAGAGTGCTGGGATTTCAGGTGTGAGATACCATGCCCAGCCTCCCCTTGCTCTTTGAGTACTTTATTCCATGTCTAAGGCCTTCAATAAAATGTATACGATTGATAAGTCTGTTGCCTTTCTTATTATGTAAGAATCATCCTCTGAAAATCTGTCCTAAAGGAATTTCAATCTTTTTTTAGAAATCCTCCCCCTTTTTTCCTCCTGTCTAATATCATCTCTGTAGACTTCACACATGCAAACTGAAAACCTCTGGTCATCCTGGATTCTCCCCCTTTTAATCCCTTCCTCCATCTCGTCTCCAAGACCTCCTGGCTCTGCCTGTGAAACTTCTCTCTCCAATTTGCTCTCCCCATCCTATTCCCATAGCCTCTGCCCTAGTTTAGGTCTTATCACATCACATTATTAAGTAGTTGAATTTCATTAAGAAATCTATCATTCCAAAATATTCATCCAGTTGTGCCACGTCCTAATTTAAAACCTTCTGGGGCTCACTACTGTCTATTGATTTATTTCTCCAACTCTCCCCCTTCTGGCCTCTCACAAGGCTATGCTTATGCCGTGCCTACAGAGTAACATCCCACTCGTATCATGGTGTTACCATCCAAAGTGTGAATCTGCTTCTCTGCTAAATAGAGAATCCCTTAAGGACAGGAACAGGTTATATTTATCTTCTTATTTCCAATTCCCAACAGAGTGCCTCATAATTAATAGGTGCTCACCTAATAAATGTTCAATGAATTCAATATATTGGTTACAAGTTTAACATGTAATCCTTAGGAAATATTTAAAAAACAATACAGTTTCAGGAATTTACATGAAAAGCTTACAGATTATTTCAGTCATCATAGACAAGTATGAGTTTGTATTTACATTGAACATGATTGCATGTTTTATATTCTAAAATTTTTTTAAATGGCATTTTCCACCAAGAAATAGTTGTGGGGAGGTAGATTTTTGAAGATGAGGTAATTCTATATTGTACTAGAAAATGTTCAGAGATATAAATGAGCTAGAACGTTTGGGCTTTCAGTGCCTCCATTATAGTAAGCACACCAACCAGACACTGGAGGTATTTATTAACTGTTTCTTAAGCAAATAAAAGTTGATATTTACTACTACTATGCACAAACCACTAAGGAGGATAGTAATATAAACTGATCACGGAGGCAGTTGCCCAAGGAGCAAGGATTAGTTAACATTCTGATCCTTTCATTAGCTTCTCTGATTTAAGAAAAAAAAGACAACATATACTGAACTGTGCAACACTGACATAATTACACTCACTGTCCTTTGTTCTAATCTTCCTTGTCCCTTAAAGTACATGACATCTAAGCCATTGACTTTAGGGTGCAGCCAGACTTGCAGGACAGATCAAAGGGCATGGAAACCTAACAGGGCACGCAGGAGGAGATGCATTCATCACAGCTTGAAATCCACACACAATTATTCAGGAATCTAGATTTTATATTAAGATATTTTTAAAAACCAATTAATGCATACGGTAGAAAAAAATGGAACATAATAAAGAAGAGAATGTTTTACTTATTACCGTTTACTGGACAAACCTACAATAAGTTCTCTGAGGCATTTAGAGGTAACTCACCATGTTCTATGACGCTCGGAACATGTGAGCAGATAATTTAAATTTTTGTTTGCTATCAGGGACCTTTCTTCCCAATGCACATGCAAATGCAGGTATGCTTACCTCTCCTGGTCGGATCTTAATGTAAAAGTTGTTCCGTTTGTATGAAATTTTTAGAACCTTGGGCCAGGCAAACCTGTTTATTCGCAGTCGGTCACGATATATCAACAGACCACTTGCACAAACTCCTAACATAATTTCTACTCCTTCTGAATCCTGGAAAACAGCAAGAAACAACGCATCAGTATCTTGCTTATTTCCACTTTCAGCTGGGTACAATATTTAAACTTTCACCACAGAACCTATAATTGACATTTAAATATGAAAAATTCTACAGCCATTTTTTTAAACGCTGCCATTAAATGATAGCCTTTTAGTGAAGATATCCATCACTACACAGATTTGGTAGAGTGAAATCTCCTCTCCCAGATACCTTAGATTTGCAACTTCAATACTGCACACCAAGAAGGCCAGGCAGATGAAGGTGTGTTAGTATCAATAATAACAGTCACAGCTATCGCTTATTGAGTGCCAGGCACTGTTTTAACTGCTCTACATATATGAATCCTTTCAATCTTCACTATGATATGGTGAGGCAGTTGCTATTATTGTTCCCATTTAACAGATGAGAAAACTAAGGTACAGAGTCCCAGTTAAACATGGGCAGCCTGGTATCAGAGGCAGTACTCTTAAATGACATGTGTTTTAACAAGGAGGACCCTATCCTTCCCTATGAGGGTTTTGTTCCTTTAAAAAGAACAAAAGAGTCTAGCTACCCCATTATTTTTTATACACCATTACTGTCAGAGTGAAATTTAAATGTGAAATATAATAGCTTTTTAAAAGTATCAATGCACTCCCCCAACAACCTCACTCCCCCCACACAAACACACTGTCTAGTGGTAATCACATTTAACAACATAAATACATTATATATATATATACTATATATATAGTATATATATATAGTTTTATTTATGTGTGTATAGTATTTTTTTTGAAGAGATCATACTAAAATTGCCACTTGCTTTTGCTACTTGCATATTTCATTTTTAAGTAATTTCCTAGGGATGTGGGATGCCCAGAGGTCAGAGATGTTATAGCGAACTCAGGCAATATACCATATAAAATCTTTCCCTCTTAAATGCTGCATTCCATTGAATTCAGGTCAAATGAACAGCTCTGGTGGCCCAGAATGGAGTAAAAAGACAGGGCAGAGGCAAGGACCGTATGCAAGGTGGTGTCTACTGCTTGTCCCACGGATGGTTAGAAGCAGGGGACAAAAAGGGCCGTGGGCTGGCCACACACAGGACACTACGGCACACAATCGGCAGGGCTGTCCCCAGCTTTGAGTCACTCTGCAGCACCAGCAGTGCAGCGGGGAAAACAGAAGAATCCAAATGCTGACTCGTCTACTTCATGGGAATTTAATTCCTCAATCCTGGGCCCACAAGGCACAAGATGGACATTTCCAGAATCAGAAATGCATTGGTCCATCTTTGGGAAATGTACATTTACAAACAGAATATAATTGGTTTAAAATGAAATATTTTACCTTGGAAACATATCATACCATTAGATACCAAATTACTCTACAGGAGAGGAAAGATTTGATGACAGGATATTACAATATAATAAAATTTGAGGAGAACTCAAAGACCAGAAACTGCCCATCATTTATTGAGGGCTTTAATTTGAAAGAGCAATTTAAAGATGCTGACAAGGAGCTGGTGTTATCGAACGGTTAGAACGAAACCAGCCAATCTGTCCGCACTGCCACTCAGGGGGACCGCCTCCCGCCATGGGCACAATCAGGCATGAGGAAGGACTGCTGGAAACGGCTCTTTGCTTTGCTCTCTCTTTGATAACTATAGAGTATAAGTTTAGGAATATGTGTTTGACCTACAGAGGGGAAAGGACATTCAAAACCTTTTTCATGAATAGATAATAAAATGTTTGGCTCGACCATTTGTGTCTTTGAATCATAAGAAAACAATGTCCCTTCGTGGGGAAGACGAGGAAGGCTCTGGTGCCCCCTCTTCTTGTCCTCCCCAACAGAGGCTTCTGTGTCCCCTCGTCAGTCTGTTATCTCTAGCACACCCTCAGCAGGTGGCGCCGACATGGACTGCCACTCATCTTCCCTCTCCTGCAGAGGAGAGCTGGCCCAGGGCAGGGGCTGTTCCCGTGTGGCCTGAGCTGCACAAGGCCTGCCTCGCGTGTATTCAGCCCCGTGTGTACTGAAAGAAAAGGTGAACGAGAAATAAAGATGGCAGGAACAAGTGGGATCTTAACCTGGATGGAAGTCTCCACATTTCATTAGTTGCACAGCAACAATAAAAAAAAAAACCTCCCGATACTTTTCACATCACATTTTCTACCACAGCCCACGGTATTGAGATTAATTTGATAAATCTTTTGTTTTAAACACTGTAACAACAGACTTTCTTGGGGAACATGTGGGTTTCACTATCAATAAGTACGTTTATACTCCCTTTAGCTGGGAGCACAGAAGGTAGATTTGGATAGTCCCAGACTAGCACCATGAAAATAAAGGGGCATACTATAGTATTCCCTTAATTTAAAATCACTGTTCAAACTTTTCCATCTTTCAATATCACTTGGTCCATGAGATATCCCATATAGACTTAGATCTACATTTCAGAATCTTACATAAATGACTCTGACAAAGCCTATTAAGACCGACATTAAGGCCAGGCGCGGTGGCTCACGCCTGTAATCCTAGCACTCTGGGAGGCCAAGGCGGGCGGATTGCTCGAGGTCAGGAGTTGGAAACCAGCCTGAGCAAGAGTGAGACACCGTCTCTACTATAAATAGAAAGAAATTAATTGGCCAACTAATATATATAGAAAATATTAGCCGGGCATGGTGGCGCATGCCTGTAGTCCCAGCTACTTGGGAGGCTGAGACAGGATTAGATTGCTTGAGCCCAAGAGTTTGAGGTTGCTGTGAGCTAGGCTGACGCCACGGCACTCACTATAGCCTGGGCAACAAAGCGAGACTCTGTCTCAAAAAAAAAAAAAAAAAGACTGACATTAAGTGACAAACAAGAAGAGACAGATGTCCAAAGAAAAAACAAAGCATTTAGAATAGGTCCTCCAAAACACATTAAGAAGAGGTTTTCCAAAGCGTAAGATCTTCATCTAATACGGGTATTTATTCTTCATACAGAGCTGTGGAGTACAAGATTGCAATTCAGAATTTCTAAATGGATCACAAAGCTCAGAGCATTTCATACCATCAACAGAAGAAAAGCATCTTGCTTAGAACCGGAAATTAGCTCTAATTCAATTCAGTAAATTTCCTTCTTCAAATGATGGAGTGTGGTTGCATAGGAAAATGGAGTCTATAACTGAATTATCTGTTATACTTAATATTCAGATAGAATTCTATAACAGGCTGGATTTGCACTTCCTTAATTCTCTTTCTTTTTAATTGGTATAATTTCAAATCATATTACATAATGGAAAAGCAGCCATCTATTTTAATTCAGTAGCTATAGCAATGTTAAGTGATTTTATTTTTACTGATAGAAACACTGATACATCTTGAGTTGTACCTTCCTTAAATGTATACTCTAATTTTTTATTTATTTATTTTTTTCTGGGCAGTCAGTGAGTCAGAATTTGTGATGTAACTCAAAAATAGCTTCATATCCACTCAAATTATTAGGCTACCTTCCTTTCTTTTTTGCTTCCTTATCTTTCAACCACCTAGGGAAAAATTCCAAGAGAAATAAAAAAACAATCTTGGTGTCTGTCTTCATTTTTATTTTTAAATCCTTACTCTACTTTATGCCCTACATAAAACAGAAAACATCTCTTTGTTATCTGAGTACACAATAAATGAAATAGTATTAACAACCTGCAAGTAAACAGAGCTACACCTGCTATTGTAATTACACACAAATGTCAAAGAGCTTGGCATTCAATGTACCAGCACATCCCTGGTATGGGTCCCAGCCAAGTCTCAGGGATTTTGCTAGTACTCGGTGGGTCTTGGGAGTACTCACGGTGGGAGATGTACAAAGTGATCTACAGACAAAACCAATCAAACTTGCTGGGGTTCAATGGCCACCACTCCCTTGTCCAAACTCACTGTGGATTACTCTGCTCCTCAAACACCAGCCAAAGAGCCGTCTGACTTCCAGCATCAACAGAACCCAGAGTGGGTTTGCACGGTCATGGAGATGTTTACTTGAGCAGAGCCAGTTGAAATTTTCTTCATTTCTAGGCCCTAAACCTGACTGCGTAAGACATTCGCTTGCCTGGAAACCTGTAATTGCATGTTCTTGTGAGTCCCAGACCGTGAAATTGGTGACTAACGCTGTCTATCAGAAGTCAAACACACATCCCTAACCAGAAATGATGTTATCTTGTCAGCCCCCATCAGAAGAAACTACCTCTGAACTTTAAACATTGACCCTTGCATTGCTGAAGTACCAGTATCTGTCTCTAGGATACTAACACATTTTGCATGCTTTGCTGATAAAAGTTTTCATAAAAGCTTCGCTGTATTTCCACAGGGCTTCTATTCACAGCTATATAAATAGTAGACTAGTAGTGCACATGTGCATTTGCTCACTGCTGAGAAACACAGGGATTCTAGAAAGGGCATGACACAAAGTCCAAGCTGCTCTATGTGTCCTTGTGACTGTCACGCTCCTACAGCCTAATTCCAACTTCTTTCTTCCTAAGACTCTTGACCTGAATACATCCTTAACATTCCACCAATCACCAGTCAGACAGGCAATCTGTTGGCCATCCAGAATGGGGGCGTAGACAGTACCTGGCACGTAAGAGATGTGACACTTGGGTCTTGGACAATCGGTCAGGTTTAGACAGAGAGGAAAGAGGACAGTCCAGAGACAGGCATATTCAGGGAAGGGCAGAGATGGGGACGGCCGGGAGCAAAGAGCACGTGTCAGCACAGTGGGAAATGTGATCGTGACAGGAGACACGGGGCTAGTGGGTTCAGAGCTGGTATCTGGTCAAGATCAGTGTCCAACTGCATCACCAGGCAATCACAGGCGCTGCCTATCGAAGGCTTGCAGGGGGCTGAGCCCATGAGTAATGAAAGTTTGAGCCATGAAGAACAAACCCCTCGGCAAATATCAGCAAGATAGATTTGTTGTATCACGCAGTAGGGCTTAAAAGGCAAACACGGATTTGAATCTCCAACATTTTCATTTATATTAACTGAAGTAAAAGTCACCAGCTTACGGCTATAACATTAAATAGAGAGTTTGGGGCTTAAAAATGCATACCTTGGCATGGTGTAAATCTACCCCATACATGGACAGTTTTTTGGCATTTTCCAAGAAATGCATCTCTGCTTCTGCTGGCGTCATTCCTCTGATAAGAAAAGAGAAAAGTGTTAGAATGCTGCTTTTCCTTCACCTGGTGGGGCTGTAAAATTCCCCACTTGACACAAGAAAGCCCCCGCCCATCCAGGCACCAAGAGAGACATGCCGTGCAGCAGCGCATATACGCGAAAAGAATCACAAGGAAAACGGCTTTGGAAGAAAACATTCCACATGAGCGCCTGGATGTTCTGAGTGAGAGCGCACCTACCCCAGAACTTTACCCTGTGCACCTTCTTACTCTGCTCAAGTCCCATCCTTAATGGACCCAAACCAACACTGGAGGAGATGGATGGTGTGAGCGATGCCCACTCATCAAGGCCCAACTTAAGTGAGTGTTCTCGGGGTTTCTGCCACTAACCTGTGGCTCTTGTGCAGCTCAATCACTTTGTCTTCCAGCTCTTTAGTGTGGTTTGGTGCAAAGCGGAACTCACTAATGTAATCGCTCCCACATTCATCGGGGTCGTAGTCTCCAAGTTCTGACTGGACGGTGTAGGAGCCCAGCAGGGCCAGGGTGACAAAGGAGCAAGGCAGCCTTCCAGATACGATGTCATCACGCAACTGCAAGCAGAGGTAGTACCTTCCGGGAGCCAAGAGGATGACACAAAAGGCCAGCATGAGGATAGATGAAAAGGAGACCATTCCATGTAAACTGTGGGTCATTTCTCCCTGTCGAATAACTTCTGTAGGATAAATTTTCTATCTACAGAAAATATAATTTCATCTATATCTGATATAGAAATAAGGGGAAAATACTTGGCTACAAAATATAATATTTAAGGGCATCCAGAAGCAAGTCAATGTTCATAATAAAACAGGGTTTTGTTAATAAAGACAGAGTAAAAGAAACCTAAAGACATATTCTTCTAACATCTTTTAAAATAACTTTTAAAGTCAAATGAACAGTTCCCAACACATTCCCTGAAATCCTTGGCTGGGGAAATTATGGTATGCAAATGATGCTCTTAAGTACAGTCATATGTTACATGATGACATTTCTGTTAATGACAGACTGCATATATGATGATGGTGGTCCCACAAGACTGCAAGACAGCTGAAACACTGCTACTGCCTAGTGACATCACAGCCGTCCTGACGTAGCGTAATGCATTATTCACGTTTGTGGTGACGCTGGTATAAACAAACCTACTGCACTGTCAGTCGTTTAAAAGTCTAGCACATATAATTATATAAGTAAATACTTGATAGTCATAATAAACAACTGTTACTAGTTTTTGTTTTTACTATACTATACTTTTAATCATTATTTTAGAGTATACTCCTTCTACTTAAAAAAAAAATTAACTGTGAAACAGTCTCAGGTAGTTCCTTCAGGATGTATCCAGAAAAAGGATTTGTTGTCACAGGAAATGACAGCTCCATGACTGTTATTGCCCCAAAGAACTTCCAGTGGGACAAGATGTGGAGGTGGAAGATGGTGAAATTGATGATCCTGATCCTGGGCAGGCCTAGGCTAATGTGTGTATTTGCATCTTAAGGTTTTTAAACTAAAAAAGGTCAAAAAGTAAAAAAAAAAAAAATTAAATAGAGAAAGTCTTATAGAATAAAAATATAAAGAAAATATTTTTGTACTGCTATATAATATGTTTGTGTTTTAAGCTAGATATCATTACAAAAGATTCAAAAGTTTAAAAATTTTGTAAGCTTATAAAAAATTACAGTAAGCTAAGGTTTATTATTGAAAAAGAAATTTTAAATAAATTTGGTATAGCCTACAGTGTTTGTAAAATCTACATTGGTGTATAGTAATGTCCTAGGACTTCACAGTCACCCACCCCTCACTCACTGACTCACCCAGAGCAATTTCCAGTCCTGCAAGCTCCATTCATGGTAAGTACCCTATATTGGTGTACTATCTTTCATCATTTAGACTATTTTTATTGTACCTTTTCTATATTTAGATATAGACACACAAAACTTACCACTGTGTTACATTTGCCCACAGTATTCAGTACAGTCACATTATGTATGCGTTAGCAACCTAGGAGCAGTAGGCAACGCTGCATAGCCTAACTGTGTATCAGGCTATGCCATCTAGATTTGTACAAGTACACTCTATGATGCTCACACAGCAACAAAATCGCCTAAAGGCGTATTTCTCATAACCGGTCATCGTTAGGCGATGCATGACTGTATAATTATTAGGTCCCAGCTAGTGTTAGGAAGTCTCATTTGGATATCTAGATGACAGATCTTGCCATATGACCAAGACAAGACAGATTTCAGGTAACTCAACAGCTATGCCTTCATAAAATTAGCTCTCAATTTCCTGCATCCCTAATGAGATCGTCTCTTTATAACAAATAATTTCTCGTTTAAGGTTCTCATTTAAAACATTTATATAGCTTCTTAGAATCTGATATGAAGACTAACTCTGAAGAATTACTACCTTAAAATTTGAGAATCTTGTCACTGTAAGTAAACAGTTTTCAACTGGAGAAATATAGCACATTTTTCACATAATATTGCCAATATAGCACAAAAATATGTTCATTGACAGTTGATTTGTCTTCTCTGTTATTCCACTTTTAAGACTTATAGATATAATACCGACTGCAAAAGACCCCAAGGTAATGGTTAACAATGATGAGTTTTAATAATAACTATCATGGTTCAGCATATGGGTATGATAGAAAAACACACTTGTATCTTTCCAATATGAACTGTTAATCCAATATGAAGCTGTGGACTATGATAAAGGCTTAAGGTTCCCTCTTAGTATAATTTTAGGCTGGTGATACATATAAAATCTACATAATTCAGAAAGAAAAATTCTTAAACGTTTAACAGGTTCTACCAATATACAGGTAGACAGAAAGAAACCATGCACTAAATTTTTTAATTCAGGTATATATATTGGCCCTATAACCACAAATTAGCCAAAATTAAATAGTTCCTCAACATTGACTAAAAAGTAAGTATCTTTGAATAAGAAATTGTAATTTTTCTGATTTAATGCAAATATTTAAAAAATCCTCCATAATTAATTTTTAACCTTTTCCAATAAGTCTGGTAAAATTACTTTTATTATTTTAATTAAAAACATTTTTTTTAAGAGATGGGGTCCTAGTCTATCACCCAGGCTGGAATGCAGTGGAGCAATCATAGCTCACTGGCACCTCCAACTCCTGCACTCAAGTGATCTTTCCTCCTCAGGCCTCAGTCTCTAGAGTAGCTGGGACTACAAGCATAAGGCACCATGCCTGGCTAATTAAAAAAAAATTTTGTAGGGTCTTGCTATGTTGCCCAGGCTGGTTTTAAACTCATGGCTTCAAGTAATCCTTCCACCTCAGCCTCCCAAAGTTCTGGGATTACAGGCCTGATACATTGCATCCAGCCTGAAATTATTTTTAATTGTAGCAAGTGGTTGAAGATGTTTTGAGTAACTTCCCTTTTCTGAAAAGCCTTCCAAAAAATTATAAAGCTTATACAGAAAATTTTGTACACACTGGACAAATCACTTTGGTCATAAACTTACTACCACACAGAGCAAGAGAGTCAGAGCTTCCAAAGTAGCATGCAGAGAAGCCTAGAAGGATGAGGCAAACCAAGATCAATGGACTGAATACTTCTGTCCCACCCCCATTCATATTGATGATGGGATTAAGAGGTGGGGGGTCTTTGGGAGGTGATTAGGTCATGAGGGTGGAGCCCTCATGAATGCAATTAGGGCCCTTACAAAAAAGGCAAAAAAGAGACTTCTTCCTCCCTTCCACCCTGTGAGGACACAGGAAGTCAGCAGTGTGCAACCCGGAAGTAGATCCCTGCCAGAATGTGACCATGCTGGCATTCTGATCCTGAACTTCCAGCCTCCAGCACTGTGGGAAGTAAATTTCTATTATTTATAAACCACTCAGTCTATGTTATTTTGTTATAGTACCCCAAACAGACAAAGACACCCAGGGTAGCTTTATAAGGGGCTCTCTTTTCACACTCGAAGCTCAGTCACCACGCTGGAATATTTTTCTACTTTTATGTTAGATTCCTCTCTTAACATCTTCTTTCTGGAAAATAAACAAATCATTTTCCTAATAGTATACACAGGCCATAGAAAGTTGATTCTTAGGTTTATATGTGTATGTGCGCGTGTGTGTGTGATACAAAGCATAAGCATCCAAAGACATTTTTACTCAAAGTTTTAGAGCAGGAGCACTAACAGTTGCTATATCATCTAAAGCTGAATCCCATCCAATGTGACTACGGTGGGTGGATGACAGCATCTCAATTCTGCATGTTTTCCCACCAGGGTCGGGCAGAGGGAAATATCAGCGTGGCACCAAAGATTCAACTGTGAAAAGATATGATTTGGCAAATCTTCTCATCAAATGTTTGCTCTCATTCAGTTGCCTTTTGTTTTGCCATCTGAGCATGGATACTACAAGGCTACCAGATGTAGGCATGCTCTTCTCTGGAGTGTTTAAGAGAAGCACAACTCTCCCAATATTTCTCCTTTCCCATGACCAACTTTCAAATACCTGGTGATGTCTTCAGATAACTGGGCGGGGTCTGGTGGATAAAATTTCACATTAAATGAAAAGTGCCAAGCACCACCTGCAAGGATGGAAAAAAAAGTTAGGAATAAACCCTTGGAAACTCTCCTCATAGTTATGATTTTAATTGATAGCTGGAACTGCCTTAACTTCAAGCAACTTTTGATCATTAATGAAAAACTGATAAGTCTCAGTTATATGAAATCCACAGATAAGTCTGAAACCTCATCTAATTTCTAATCTTCTCCTCAATCGAATCCTTCACTGGCACTTTTAACTGGCAAAGAAATTGACCTAACTTCCTCCTGTTCTCAGAATCAGAGGTAAGCTTTTGGAAGAAGGAAAAAAGTGATTGATACGGATGATCTTCCATCAGATAAGTAAGCAAGTGAATTGACTTATTGCTGTGAATTTCTGGATAGCTCACATACTGACACTACAAGCATAATTCCCATTTCCTTTGTCCTTTCTGTTTTGTTATTACAGGTCGAATTCAATTATGATAAATGTCTAAGCACTATTCAACATGTGTGTATTTTATGGGAAAGGTTTGTTATAGTGAATATTGCTTTAGTGAGTGGGCTACTCTAGGGCTGTTGAAAATTATTTTCTTGCTCAGGGAAAGTTTGGATGAAATAGATATTTAAATGCATTTGCTGTGCATTAGCAAATTCTACACCTCCTTAGCCTATGACTTAGACGCATCCTCTTACACTTTGCTGTCTTTATCCTGTGGCATCTACTTATGGCCTCTCCAGCAGTGAAAAGGGTCAACCAGAAGTTAGCTCACAGGGCCCTGTTCCGTTTGTTAACACATATCCTTGAAACGTTATTAAGCCTTACTAGGCTCCACATTTCATTAATACTGTCGCTTACTGTATATAGTTTAATCAATATAAATTACGCACTCTATGTGATCATTCCTTTAACGTACATTCACTTCATTCTTTCCTTTTAGCCTTTAAATGTAGTAGTTTACCCAAGTCTGGGTATTCCTTCTCTGGAGCACTGTTTATATTTGTCCTCTCCACTGAATAAGCACGCTGAAAGTGCCGAGGCCTAGGCCCTGCTTACGTTCTGAATGGACTACTGAAGAATTCCTCCTGGGAAGCCTTTCCTTCACACCTTACCCAGTGGCCACAGCGGGCTCTTACCCATTATTCTCACAGTCCGGCCCTCATGCTTCCAAAACTACTCTCCTCCTCCCCATTAAATGACTTCTGGAAACTCCAATTTCTCTCTGAGCCCTGCCCAAACATTGGAAGAAAGGTACAGTATTGTATCTCCTAGCTCCTTTCTTGGCACTGCTCGATTGCATATGTGGCAATACTTAGCTTCATCGGTTTCCTGCGTTCTGTCATAAGTGGCATAGAGCCATTTATTAATTCTAGTTTATTCTTGACACTACCATTTACATCACACTTAAGATTCTACATGGCAGGGAACCTGAGGTACCCTATAAAGAATTTAGCATTGGACCAGGTATTATTGGGTGCTCCATACATTTTCAAACCACTCAAAATATGTCTGTCAATCAAATATATTTCTAGTGCCTGCTTTTCCCACTGTTCTCAAAAAAGTCCTTTTGTTTTTCCAAAAATAGCCTGATTTGGTTTTACTTTCCTATTGATTCCTACTCACTTGCTACTAAAATAGATTCCTTCAATGCTTGCCAATAGTGAGGTTCACAATGACAGCTGGCTTTCCTCCAAGCAAGTGAAATTAAAACTAATGGATTAGTTATGGGAAATGGATTTATTGCTCTTTTATAACTTTTATCCATTTTAAAGTACGCCTTCAATCCAATGAATAGTTTAGCATTGTAATTAAACAATTTTATAATAAATTTGGGGTGAACATTTTACTATGGAAACTAGTAAGAGTAATAAAACAACAGTAAAAACATTTCAATGCAAAAATCTTCATTCTAGGAAAGTGCATTTCAAAACATAATGAGCCTAAGAAGTACCTGAGGTGCTTGTTAAAAGTGCTGATTCCTAGGCCCCACCCCAGAGACTTTTATTCCAGAGATGTGGAATATGGCCTAGGAACTTACCGTTTTAATGAGCTTCCTTGTGATTCTGACACAGGTGGGCTATAGAATCACTTTGAAAATCATTAATACTAAGGAACCCACTGTCCTAAGATTGTAACCCAAATAACTACAGTATCTTTCAGGACATTATTTTGAAACCATGGGAAAGTTTACAGAAATGACAATCTACATCCAATCAAGAAAAAAAAATCCAGTTAAATGAGGCATAGAACTTGACATTAATGAGAAAGGCAGATTAAAGCTCAAATACACATCCCCGTAAAGAATGTGGCAGAAACAAATCAACTGGGAAGGAAGTGCTTATGCAACCCTGGAGCTGCTCAAATGAAAGCCCTGGTTAGAAAGACGAAATGAAACAGTTTGAGCACACTAAAATGACTACTTCTACAATGCTGATGTAGGATTTTAAATTACAAATTTATGATAAATAGAAAATTATAACACTGAAGAGAATTCATTCTTATGAAAAATTTCCAATTTTAGTCTTCTCTGCCTGCTAAAATATTAAAATTTCTAAATATACTGTATTTGTATCATAAAATTATGATATATCCTATCTCTACATCATAAAATTACTATTACTATTCATAAATACACCATTATCACAAAATATGGTATATTTAGAAATTTTAAGATATGCCATATAGAAAAAAATGACTAGAATAAAATTTTTTTGTAGGAATTCTTTAGTTTCAGAATTTTCTATTTATCATAAATGTGTAACTTAAAATCTTTATCAGCTTGATCTCCAATGTATTAAAGATTATCATTCTAGAGGCATACTGTGAACCTACAGCATAAAAAAGACAGAAACATCCTTTTGTCATCTGTATTTAGGGAGAGGAGGTAATGGTACAATAATTACATTAGATATACTTCTCTGCTTTGGTAGAATGCAAATTTTGTGGAAAGAAGGCATTTTAGTGGATGGGAAACAACAAGGGAACATAGATAGAAATACCAAACTCTATTTTTAAAAAAATTCTGATTTTGTCTCCTCCTTTATCAGCCAGATTGTCAGGTTTTTTAATGTCACGGCCACACTGCCTAAACTGCATGATGAAAAAATCCTTTAAATCTCTTGTTTTGACTGTCCCTTTAGCTTTCTTGTCTTTGAAAGGAAGGCAGAAGACAGCATAAATTGGAAGTTAAAAAAAGAATTCTATTAACAATAGAGAAGAAAATTAGTTTATACAGCCTTTCTTATATAACAGTATTATGACTTATCCTTGAACATTTTATATATTTTCAAAATGCTTTACAATTATTAAACAGCTCAGCATTCCATTAATTAGATGACTACAGAGGACTTTATGCACATAAAATATGATATATATTTAGCATGTCTGTTTTTAGTACCTCTATAAAAATCTTTGGAGTACATTTGTCATTTTAAAGTTTTTATTAGGACTCTTCAGAATAAAAAAAAATGTAGTGTTTTCACCTATTTAACACAACTGTAGCTATCTATGATTTCAATCTTGATTAAACTAGTCTATCAAACTAATTCATTATTGAATTTCTGGTTAGTAGATACATCAAAAATATGCTAAAGATGTTTTAATTGTGTAAATAATCAGCAGATTCTAATATCTTGAAGTACAGTTACTATTTTTTTTTCCTTTTGGGATATTATCTACTAAACCATTTCAAAATGCTCACTCCCAATTATGTTTTATTAGTATTTGGGGTATTTTGGTATCTTAGGACTTTCAAAGGCACTAAGAAGTATTTGCTTTCTGTTTTAGTAAACAGTTAAAAACTTTTACTTATTGAAACAGGAATGATGCTTTTATTAATAAACTAGCTTTAAATTTATTCTTTAGTTAGAATTAGTTGTCCAGAATAATTAATTCAGATTTTACTGATAAAATTATGAATTAAAAATTAACTATCTATTTGAAATTATAAAGATTATTCATGTTTGTGGTAAAAAACAGGAGATGCTGTGAAAGGTAAAAAATAAAACTAAAAAAATCTCCTCTTTCTCAACACCCTACACTGCATGCTACTTCTGGAATAATTACTGTTAATATCTTTCATGTCTTCCGAAAGTTTTCCATGCATCTATATTCTAATTTTTGAAAACAAATGAGAATGTTATAGATATTATTCTGCAACCTGATTTTCACTAAGGAGAGCTAAGACATATTTATATGGCTATTCCATGATTAATTTAATAATTTCTTCATAAATGGACATTTAAGTTGCTTCTAGTTTTCTGCTATTGCAAACAGTATTATAATGAACTTCCATGTGCCTATGCACATGCAAATTTTCCTCTCAAATACCTATGCTGAACAAATTTCTACCAGTAAAATGAAGGGTCAAAGAATTAAGCACATCTTAAATTTTAATAAATATTGACAAATTGTCCTCGTCTAGGGTTGCATCAACTTATTCTTATACCAATTGGGTATGCAGTTGCCATAGTTTATTAAACTTTTAAAATCTTTGCCAATCTGAATACATGAAAAATAATTAGGCTTAATATAACATTAATAATTAAGTTTGGAACTTTTAAATGGCTAATTGCCAAATGGAACATCAGTTAGTTAAATCATGTATTTCACGTCTATGTACAGGCAGGGGAATAACATGTGTTATAGTCAATTTTTTAGTTTTTCTTTTTTTTTTTAATTTCAGCATATTATGGGGGTACAAATGTTTAGGTTACATGTGTTGCCTTTCCCTCCCCTTCCCCCCTGGAGTCAGACATCACTCGATAAAAAAAGACATCTGCACTAGAACGTTTATAGCAGCACAATTCACAATTGTAAAGATGTGGAAACAACCCAAGTGCCCCTCGATACATGAGTGGATTAATAAAATGTGGTATATGTATACCACGGAGTACTATCCAGCTATAAGAAACAATGGTGATATAGCACCTCTTGTATTTTCCTGGATAGAGCTGGAACCCACTCTACTAAGTGAAGTATCTCAAGAATGGAAAAGCAAGCACCACATGTACTCACCAGCAAATTGGTATTAAATGATCAACATCTAAGTGGACATATAGGAGAAATATTTATTGGGCATCGGGCAGGTGGGAGGGGGAGGAAGGGATGGGTATATACATACATAATGAGTGCAATGTACACCATCTAGGGGATGGACACACTTGTGACAGTCATTTTAACTCCCAGATTGTGATAATGAAACATGGGTACTGTCTGAACCATACCAACCTGCCAGATTGTATTTGTGATAAAAAAAAAAAACTTTGTGGCCGGGCGAGGTGGCTCACGCCTGTAATCCTAGCTCTCTGGGAGGCCGAGGCGGGCGGATTGCTCAAGGTCAGGAGTTCAAAACCAGCCTGAGCAAGAGCGAGACCCCGTCTCTACTATAAACAGAAAGAAATTAATTGGCCAACTAATATATATATAGAAAAAATTAGCCGGGCATGGTGGTGCATGCCTGTAGTCCCAGCTACTCGGGAGGCTGAGGCAGCAGAATCGCTTGAGCCCAGGAGTTTGAGGTTGCTGTGAGCTAGGCTGACGCCATGGCACTCACTCTAGCCTGGGTAACAAAGTGAGACTCTGTCTCAAAAAAAAAAACAAACCAAAAAAAACCAACTTTGTATTCGCACTAGCCACTTGGGTATGGGCTACCAATTCAGACAACTTTCTTCTCTAAAAGTCTTCACATTACCACATAAAATAATCAAAATGAACTTACTTCGAATCTGTTTTTTTATTTCTTTAGAAGGGTCCAACCAGTTCTGAAAAAGAAATGACATTTTGAATTTGAATCAGAGAAGAATAAAAATGCCTCAATGTTGATTAAGTACAGATATGCCCTCAATATACGGTGGAGAGTGAGCGGCTGTGGGCAGGCTCGCCTCACTGCCCTCCGCCCCCACACCTGGTACCCCTGCCAAACCTCTGAGGCCAAGGCACTATTCTAATGAGAAAACATATGTGTGTGTAGTTTGTGCTTGACAAAAAAAAAAAAAGAAAAATTTAACAACTATTTCCTTCAGGGATTCAAGTGAGCACAGAAACAGAGGAGAAAAACTAGCAGAAGATTCTATGTTCGACCAACTTACCAGGATAAATTAAAGATACATATAATTTGACACACTGATGTCCTCCAGGAGTGAGGAACCTGTGGCCTTAAGAACACGTGTGGCCCTCCAGATCCCCAAGTGTGGTCCCTGGACCGAATCCAAACTTCACAGAAATCCTTTTAATAGAGGGGTTTGTTCTGTGAAGTTTGGATTCAGTCGAAAGGGTGTACTCAAGGATCTGGAAGGCCACATGTAGCCTTAAGGCTGCAAGTCCCATTCAGTTCCCATTTGTGATTTCTGTGATTATAGATCACATCCACTGAGAAAATTTCCCAAATGAATGAATACTTATGATTTACATTTTTCCTCACTGGAAAGAATCAGATGTTTAATAATGAAGTTAGACGGTGTCTGGTGAATTCAGTAGGTATTACGTAAGCCTAATGGCACAACATGGAAACAAGTAACATCTATGAGCAAAATATCTGAGACTCAGCTTCCGACACAATGGAAACAATTTCCTCTTCTGTATTTCTCAGGTAGTTGTGGAGATTCATGAGGTACAGTCCTGAACAGACTGCATCACTCAGGTGAAGAGCCTACAGAGGTATTGCATGAAACATAGGACGTCTACTGAGTGCATTAGACAAGTATCAGGCCGGCAAATGACACATCGCATGTTCTGATTCAGTAAGAATATGAAAACATAAGATGAATTCAGAATGTCAGCAGCATCAGCAGTCAGCTGCCCTGACCATATGTTACAGCCATAACATCTTCATGGAATTTTGAGGTATGAAAATGATGTTCATTGGTTCAAATAATCTACTGAAATACACTATACCAAAAAAAAAAAAAAAAAAAAAAAGCACCATCTAAAATGCTTTCCTGGAACCACAAATAACTCTTAACAGGAAAAACAGAAGAGCTCACTTATTGCTTCTGGAATATTCAAGATTAAAGGAAGTTGTTAATGATTTGCTTCATGAGGAAATAGGGGATTAACAGTATTGCCGGACTTGGGGTAGTAAACGTGGGTATGTGCATAGAGGTTGAGAAAATGACTCTCCCCTTCGGCTTTAGTTCACAGTAATGAGCAGTTCAAGCCATTATATTTTGTGTTGCTTTTGATCTCTCACCTTCTGGTTTTCAGCATCACGATATGTAAGCCCAAAGTAGTCTTTTTCTAGCAAGTTCAAATGTTCGCACACTTTATCAAACAGCACTTGCCCTCTGGAGCGTTTCTGTGGAAAACAGAACAGAAAAACAATTCAACACATAACAAGGTTCTCCCAACTGCCATAAATAAAACTGAGTAAAATTTAAAGCACTCCTTGCTGTAAGGGACAAGTGTGATCACTTTGCCATCTCCCGTTTAACCAGCAAAAAGGCTAAAAAAAAAATGGACCTCAACCTACATAAGCCCACCCCTACGAATAAACAGACAGAAACAAAATATTAACAGCGCCACTGAGCATGCTCAGGGGACTGGTGGGTGATTTCTAAATAGCAGCAGCTGGGGAGAATAATGTGATGCTTAGAAACATAAAACATTTTGTGAAATGTAACAATCCTGACAGTGAAAGGGAGTAAAGGGCCGACAACGCCGTGTTTCACAGCACCCTAACTCAGTTCTCCAGGCTATAAAATCCTGAGAAGAATGAACCCCATTCCTTGTCTTAGGTAGAATCTCACTTAAAACTTTCTATTCCAATTCCTTTCTATTCCAATTCCTTTCTATTCCAACTAAGAAATTCTAACGATTACTTTCTAAAATCCATTAAACTAACTTCATTAGTTTATTTTTGTTTTGTCTTTTTGCCACAAATTTCAGTTTTGTACCAACAAATTTTTCAATTTCTCTTAGAGCAAATCCTTATTAAACATAACAAAAGTATCAAGTTTAAGGATTTTAGTTATCATATATAAATGATATAGATATATGTGCTATATTTTCGACCATTAAGCAGGAACATGGAGAAAGGTAGTTATTTGGGGAAAGAAAATTCATCAGCTAATTTATTGTACTTACACTATCATTTTTTTTTACCTAATCCTTCCAAGGGTCTTTAAACATAGCCTTGGAGTTTGTGAGGAATTAACTGGCAACAAATAAGCTAAACTACTTTTTGTTTGTATGGTACTAACATTTTACATCTAATATATTAAGTATATTTGTCCTTAGGATTTAATATAGCAACAATGAGAAATATGAAAATTGATAAATTATGTCCATGCCAAAATCATAAGCATTCAAAAGGCCCGTTAGTGGTGCGTTACTGCACAGCCATAATTATGTTGAAAGCAATTACTTGGTCCCTTCAAGCATGACTATTTAGGAAAAAAGGTAAATTTATGATAGGAAAGTCAAGTCTAAATTGCAGCTAGCTAAATAATCAATGATATATTTGGAAAAAACAGTTCCATAAAGTATGAAAATAAATTATTTGTTGGTAAAACTACATAATAACATTGCTTATTGGCTATGAATAAATATTATAACAATGAAATGCCTGCTTACTGGTTTAAAACTTTTTTTTTTTTTTTTTTGGAGACAGAGCCTCTCTCTGTTGCCCTGGCTAGAGTGCAGTGGCGTCATCATAGCTCACTTCAACCTCCAACTCCTGGGCTCAAGCAATCCTCTTGTCTCAGCCTCCTGAGCAGCTGTGACTACAGGTGTGCACCACCACACCTGGCTAATTTTTTCTATTTTTAGTAGAGACAGGGTCTCGTTCTTGCTCAGGCTGGTCTCGAACATCTGACCTCAAACAATCCTCCCTCATCAGCCTCCCAGAGTGTTAGGGATTACAGGTGTGTGCCACCATGCCTGGCCTAAATCTTTTATTTATAAATAACAGCATATCATTTCTGAAAACTGCTTTAAAAATTATAAAATTTTTCATAAAAACCTGGTTCTAATGGTTCTATTCATATTATCAATGTAATAATACCAGATAAGAACAGAGGTTCAAAGAAGGTGAATGAGAGTGGCAGTCTTATGGAATGACTCTGGGAACTGGCTTTAGAATCAGATAAACCTGGGTTTCAATCGACAGTATGTCCCTTGCAACTACGTGAACCTCTGCTCTTTTCCTCTGTTTCTATGACACAACCCTACTTCTTTGGAAAGGCTGATATTAAAATAATGTGTTCAAACTTGGTCCAGTGGAGGCACCTATCAAACACTTCATAAAAGTCCGCTAATGTTATAGCCTGGTGGCTGACAAATGGCAGAATAACTAACGTAGAGCCAACTCCTGGTGGCACCATGAAGCAGCTTGATAAATAACAAGACCTGCTCTTTTCTTTAGATATTAGTTACCTGCTTATTACCTAATAACTTTTGTTTGACCACATAACACACAAAAATACACATCAGGATCTGACCAAATACTCTCTCAATGAATAAATAACAAACAAACAAAAATACAAAAACTTTCCTAGACAAGGTTTTGCCTGACTCTGTGCTTCCCGTATCTTTTGATGCAACAGATCACAGCAGCCCTCAGCGGGAGATCCTTCCTCACCAGGCTGCAGCCTGGCCTGCTCTCTGTTTCGATCAACGGTCTCCCAGCTGCTGGGTCCTTCCCTGCGCCCAGCAGGTGGCGTGGATTAGTTCCAGCACAAACTGTTATGCTATCTGGCTCTTGCTTTGAAGGCTTCTCACAATTTGATTTCTATTAATGCTATCTATCTTTCTCTTGAGTAGACCAGATCTTTTTTCTTACTGAATATTTTAAACATTGGTTTTTAAGACATTGTGGTCCATGCTAGAGATTTTTTTTTCTGGCCCTAAGAGCTGAGACCAGTTGACCAGAAGCAACTGTACATGTTTATATGGAATGGAAATAATGAAATTCCTACCTGCTAAGTGTCAGAACAGCCACCAGCTAAGACGGTGACTCTGGAAAAGGCTTCTGAATTATTTGCGTCTCCACTGTCTCATCCTTGAGTGAGGATGTAAAACTACTGAGCAAGGTGGTCATGGCCTTGAGGCCGTAACTGGGCCTCCCCTTGCTTAGGGCGGACCATTCCTACTAATGGGCTGAAGCCCGTTCTCCCACATGCCAGGTCTCACCACCACGAGAAAGATGGAGTTGGGACATGACGTGAAACCATTTTCTAGCCCTGGACTGGATCCCCTCTGCAATCTCGCCCAACTCTAAAACTCTCTCAATTCTTTTAAATCAGAAGATTTCTTTTTCCTAGCACATTATTCAAGTTTTCAAATCAACTGTTTCTACTTGTTGACCTCTGCATGTATCTGTAGGTAAGAACATTTAACATGTGAATAAAGCTCAACTATTAGACTGCAAATTTTGGAGAAACTGTGTTAACTATTATGGTTCCCAAAGACACGCTGTTCATTAAGTGATCAAATCTAGGTACCTACAGTCATGGATGTGGTTAGATATAGACACTGTGAGTCAAGAATTGAGTACATTAAAAAAAAAAAAACTGACAGAGGTAATCTAAACTAATGGATAATTTACCTAATCAGAGAAAACTAGGAGTACTTAGTCTTGTTGTAGTTCTTTCTGAGATAAGTCATCTCTAACTCAAAGGCACTCCTCACAGCTCATGTATACTATTTCACTAGGAAATATCCTGGAGTAACAAACCAAAGGTGCCCTGCCTTCTTCTTGAAATTTCCACTGGCAAATTGTATTTCTGTTTCTGATAGAGTAAATAGGAATACTATAGCCCAACAACTGGGAAGGCTTTAAATAAAATGATCTAAGAGTGGCATATCCCTAAGCAATTTAAATAAGTTCCAGTCTTAATTACATTTTTTTCTTTCCTTTAAAAAATTTCCAAACTGATTCATAAAATTGTTGAGTGTTAGGAGAAGTTGCAGCCAAAAGAGGACGTAAAGAGAATGAAAAAACAAGCTACAAACTGGGAGAAAATATTGGCAAAATATACACCTGATGGAGAATTGGTACCCAAGATATACAAAGAACTCTTAAAACTCAACAATAAGAAAATACCGCAATTAAAAAAAATGGGCAAAATTTCTCAACTGACATCTTCCCAAAGAAGACATACTGATGGCAAACAAGCATATGAAAAGATGCCCCACGTCGTATGTCATAAGGAACTGCAAATTAAAACAACAGTGAGATACCATCCTCACACCTACTAGAATAGCTAAAATCCAAAACACCAACAACACTAAATGCTGGTGAGGATATGGAGCAACAGGAACTCCCATTCATTGCTGGTGGGAATGTAGAACAGTACAGACACTTTAGGAGACAGTTTGGTGGTTCCTTACAAAACTTAACATTCTCCTATCATATGATTCAGCAATCATGCTCCTTGGTATTTATCCAAATGAGTTGAAAACTCATGTCTACTCAAAAACTTGCACACTGGCTGGGCATAGTGGCTCATGCCTGTAATCCTAGAACTCTGGGAGGCCGAGGAGGGAGGACTGCTTGAGCTCAGGAGTTTGAGACCAGCCTCAGTAAGGGGGAGACCCCATCTCTACTAAAAATAGAAAAATTAGCTGAGTGTCGTGGCATGCCCTTGTAGTTCCAGCTACTTGGGAGGCTGAGGCAGGAGGATCGCTTGAGCCCTGAAGTTTGAGGTTGTTGTGAGCTAGGCTGATGCCATGGCACTCTACTAAGGGCAACAGAGTGAGACTCTGTCTCAAAAACAAGTGAAAAACAACAACAACAACAAAAACTTGCACACAAATGTTTGTAGCAGCTTTATTCATACTTGCCAAAACTTGGAAGCAACCAAGAAGTCTTTGGGTAGGTGAATCAAGACACAAACTGTGGTACACTTAGACATTAGAATATTGCTCACTGATAGAAAAAAATGAGCTATCAAGCCACAAAAAGACATGAAAAGCTTTAAATGCATATAGCTAAGCAAAAGAAGTCTGTATGAAAAGGCGGCACACTGTGTGATTCCAATTACAGTCGTCCCTCTCCTTATCTGTGGGAAATGTATTAATACGTCCCAAGATCCCCAGAGGATGCCTGAAACTGGGGATCATACCAAACCCAAGAGACATACATTTTTCCTATGCATACCTATAATCAACTTTAATTTATAAATTAGGCACAGTGAGAGATTAACAACAATAACTAATAATAAAACACAACACAACAATTATAGTGTGATAAAAGTCATGTGAACATGGTCTCTCTCTCTGTCAAAATATCTTATAGTAAAATGCTCACCTACTTTTGAACTGCGGTAGTAACTAAAACCATGGGTAAGGGAGCAC